CTATGTTCTAACAATAATGGGTTCAAGTGCACTGAATGTAAGCCTAACTACAGGAAGCAATCCAATGGAGATGCGGGGGATGACTATACATGTGTGAAGACCTGTGAGGATGACACTGCTTGTGGTGGTACCTCTGGTGCCTGTGATGCCATAGTGATTGATGATAAGGGTGTAGAGCATCATTATTGCTCATACTGTGGAGAAGCTAATACGTATCCTATAGATGGGAAGTGTAATAGTGCTAAAGCAAATAATCAATGTGATCAAGGTGTATGTACACAATGCACTAACAACTACTTCTTGTACATGGGTGGCTGTTATAGCACTCAGAGTCCACCAGGCAACTACATGTGCAAGACCGCAGGTAACAATGGGATATGCACAGAGGCGGCCAATAATAAGTACTTCGTAGTCCCAGGGGCAACCAATCAGAATCAGTCTGTATTGGCATGTGGTAACCCATTAGGCACACTAGTAGATACTAAGGCATACGTTGGGGTGGATGGCTGCTCAGCATGTACAGCCCCAGCAGCTCCATCTGATGGTGGCATGACTGCTGCTGTGTGTACCTCCTGTGACAGTAGTAAGAAGCCCAACAGGGATGGTAGTGGGTGCTTCGCATGTGCTATTGAGGGATGCTCCCACTGCAACAGGGATGACATGTGCGAGGCATGTAGTAGTGGGAAGGTGAGCCCTGGGAGGAAGTCATGCGTGGATGGCTGTCCCAGCAACTCCACTGATGATAACTCTGTCTGTGTGTGCAACGATGGGTACAGCCCTGATGATGCTGGGGCCTCCTGTGTGTCCTCTGGCAGTAATAGGAGCGGCCTCCGCACGGGGGCCATCGCGGGCATTGCCGTCGCCGTGGTCGCTGTCGTGGGGGGCCTCGTGGGCTTCCTCTGCTGGTGGTTCCTGTGCAGGGGGAAGGCGTGACTTAGGTAGTGAATGCTGTACAGTGATAGTGATAGTGCTATGTGGTGTGGGGGTGATAGTGATAGTATGAGACTCCTCTTCATGGGCGGGTGCTACAACAAGGATGCACACCCTGGCAGTGAGATATGCACAAAGGCTGAGGGAGGACTGTGCACTGCTTGTAATACAGCTAACGGCCTGTTCAAGAACCCAGTTACACCATCAGAGAAGGGTAGTGAGTGCATCTTGTGCTCCGATACTATAGATAGAAACGGGGTCATGGGAGTCGCTGGATGCTCAGAATGCTCCCACACGGGCACTAGCGGACCGGCCACATGCACTGTCTGCCAAGATGGATACATTAAGAAGGGTGATGCATGTGAGAAGTGTGATCAGTCCTGTCTGACCTGCGATGGAAGTGGTCCGAATCATTGCACATCGTGTCCAGAGGGGAAGTACCTGAAGACTGACAAGTCATGCGTGAATAATAATGGATGCACTGGAAACACTTATGCTGACCCGGAGTCGGGGAAGTGCCTTCCTTGCAACACGATAGATCAAGCATGTACCCAGTGTGAGGTTGATTCGACTACCAAGAAGCCGAAGTGCACTAACTGCGGTGGTCAGAAGATGGTGAAGACGGCCATCGATGGCACGACAACCTGTGTCGATGCAAATGGGTGCGCAACAAGTAACGTTGACGGATCCCACTTTCTAAATGATGGTAGCACCAAGTGCATATTGTGTAGTGATGATAGTGAAAGTTTAGAAGCTAATAAAGGGACGCCTGGGTGTAAAACATGTAAGAAGAACGGAGCCAAGCCGACCTGCTCGGAGTGCCTCGACGGATATTACAATAGTGGAAATGGTGGTACGGTTACATGTGAAGCCTGTGGTGCCAACTGTGCCACCTGCACTCAAGCTGGCAATGATAAGTGCACTAAATGCAAGCCTGGATTCTTCATGAAACAACCCGGCTCTACTGGTGAGTGCGTTGCTTGTGACAGTACAACAGATGGTGGCCGTGAAGGCTGTAGTCTATGTTCTAACAATAATGGGTTCAAGTGCACTGAATGTAAGCCTAACTACAGGAAGCAATCCAATGGAGATGCGGGGGATGACTATACATGTGTGAAGACATGTGAAGACCCCACGGCTTGTGGTGGTACCTCTGGTGCCTGCGATGCAATAGTGATTGATGATAAGGGTGTAGAGCATCATTATTGCTCATACTGTGGAGAAGCTAATACGTATCCTATAGATGGGAAGTGTAATAGTGCTAAAGCAAATAATCAATGTGATCAAGGTGTATGTACACAATGCACTAACAACTACTTCTTGTACATGGGTGGGTGTTATAAGTATGATACAGAACCAGGAAGCCTCATGTGCAAGACAGCAGCCGATGGTAAGTGTACAGCTGCCAATGAGAATAATAAGTACTTCGTAGTCCCTGGTGCATCCAACACTGATCAGTCTGTCCTGGCCTGTGGCAACCCATTAGGCACACTAGTAGATACTAAGGCATACGTCGGGGTAGAGGGCTGCTCCCAGTGTACAGCCCCAGCAGCTCTGTCTGATGGTGGTATGGCCCCCGCTGTCTGTACCTCCTGTGACAGTAGTAAGAAGCCCAACAGGGATGACATGTGCGAGGCATGTAGTAGTGGGAAGGTGAGCCCTGGGAGGAAGTCATGCGTGGATGGCTGTCCCAGCAACTCCACTGATGATAACTCTGTCTGTGTGTGCAACGATGGGTACAGCCCTGATGATGCTGGGGCCTCCTGTGTGTCCTCTGGCAGTAATAGGAGCGGCCTCAGCACGGGGGCCATCGCGGGCATTGCCGTCGCCGTGGTCGCTGTCGTGGGGGGCCTCGTGGGCTTCCTCTGCTGGTGGTTCCTGTGCAGGGGGAAGGCGTGACTTAGGTAGTGAATGCTGTACAGTGATAGTGATAGTGCTATGTGGTGTGGGGGTGATAGTGATAGTATGAGACTCCTCTTCATGGGCGGGTGCTACAACAAGGATGCACACCCTGGCAGTGAGATATGCACAGCAGCCAGTAATGGAGTGTGCACTGAGTGTAATACAGCTAACGGCCTGTTCAAGAACCCTGCTACACCATCAGAGAAGGGAAGGGAGTGCATCCTCTGCTGGGATACCAAGGGAGCAGATGGATATACGGGGGTGGCTAACTGCCTCAAGTGCACGGAACCAACTAATAGTCCAGGACCTGCCACGTGCACTGAGTGCCAAGCAGGGTACTATAAAGAGAATAACGAATGCAAGCAGTGTGATCCGTCCTGTCTGACCTGCGATGGAAGTGGTCAGAATCATTGTACATCGTGCCCAGAGGGGAAGTACCTGAAGACTGACAAGTCATGCGTGAATAATAATGGATGCACTGGAAACACTTATGCTGACCCGGAGTCGGGGAAGTGCCTTCCTTGCAACACGATAGATCAAGCATGTACCCAGTGTGAGGTTGATTCGACTACCAAGAAGCCGAAGTGCACAGCTTGTGATAACAGTAAGATCCCCAGGACGGCCCTTGATGGGACCTCGACGTGCGTGACAAAAGACTACGCTGGATGTAAAGGCGCTGACGAGGCCCTATTTATGAAGGAGGACAAAACATGTGTTTTATGCAGTACCGTTTCAGCTGGAGCCGATCCAAATTACCAGGGCATTGCCGGGTGTAAGAAGTGTACCAAGGACTCGGCGACACCGCCGACCTGCTCGGAGTGCCTCGATGGATACTACAGTAGTGGTAGTGGTACGGTTACATGCACCGCTTGTCCAGGTGCTAACTGTGCCACCTGCACTCAAACTGGCAATGATAAGTGTGATACATGCAAGCCTGGGTTCTTCATGAAAGGCAATGGTCCTACTGGTGAGTGCGTTGCTTGTGATAATGCACAGGGGGGCATCGATGGGTGTGCCGAGTGCACAAAGGAGTCTACAGGACCTCTCAAGTGCACAAAGTGCAAGCCTAACAGGAAGCCCGCTGGAACCTCAGACAACTATACATGCACAGAGAAGACCTGCGAGGACCCCACGGCTTGTGGGGGGACAGCTGGCTCTTGTGATGCCATCGTAATAGATGATCAGGGCACCACAAAGCACTACTGTTCCTATTGTGGAGATAGTTCACAAGCTCCTATAGATGGTCTCTGTGCTAGTGAGGCTCAAAAGGCTGGGAATACTTGTGCTAATGGTGTATGTACACAGTGCACCAACAACTACTTCCTATACATGGGTGGCTGTTATAGCACTCAGAAGGCTCCTGGTAGCTTCATGTGCAAGACAGCAGGTAATACTGGGATCTGCACAGAAGCAGCCAACAATAGGTACTTCGTAGTGCCTGGTGCATCCAACACTGATCAGTCTGTGTTGGCTTGTAGTAACCCCTAGGCACACTGACAGGCACTGGTAATACTGCTAAGGCATATGTGGGGGTAGAGGGCTGCTCCCAGTGTACAGCCCCAGCAGCTCTGTCTGATGGTGGTATGGCCCCCGCTGTCTGTACCTCCTGTGACAGTAGTAAGAAGCCCAACAGGGATGACATGTGCGAGGCATGTAGTAGTGGGAAGGTGAGCCCTGGGAGGAAGTCATGCGTGGATGGCTGTCCCAGCAACTCCACTGATGATAACTCTGTCTGTGTGTGCAACGATGGGTACAGCCCTGATGATGCTGGGGCCTCCTGTGTGTCCTCTGGCGCCAACAGGGGCGGGCTCTCCACGGGGGCCATCGCGGGGATCTCCGTCGCTGTGGTCGTCGTCGTGGGGGGCCTCGTGGGCTTCCTCTGCTGGTGGTTCCTGTGCAGGGGGAAGGCGTGACTCGGGTAGTGAATGTATCAATGGATCCTGGTGATGGCCACTAACTTAGGGATAACGTCCGTTGTATCGTCTACTCAGTGTTGCCTTGTGCTCATGGGATGCTGTGCACAATAGGGAAAGGCACCGTGTGGCAGGAGCAACGATCCGTTCATCGGAATCAGCTGTAGTGGACAAGGCTATTTAGGAGGTATAGTCTACGCATTACGAAGTATGCGTAGTCGGCTACAGCTTGGCAGACAAGACTAGAAGATAAAAATGGCGTCCTTCATAAATCCAGACCTAAATAGGTCAGAAACAAGTATGGACGGAGAGGTGGAGTACCGACCAGTTCTTCCTTTTATTCAGAATAAGCACTATACCTCCATGGGAGAAAAGTGGTACGTTAAGTATCTACTGCTTCCTTGCTATCTACCACTTTCCCCCTTCGTTCTTCTCTTGCGAATAATGATTATAATACCGCTATTTCTGCTATTGGCACTGGCATGCTTCTTCTTAAATTTGGGGACAGATCCTACCAGGCCATTCGATAGAGTTAGGGCAACATTCCTTGTGCTGATAACAGCCCCCATAATTCGTCTCATGCTCTTTACTATGGGATATTGTGTAATAGTACGAAATCGAAAAGGAAAGGCTAAATGCCACGCTATTGTTGCTAATCATACAGACTTTATGGACATACCATGCATGTATTGCGCAGAAAGTACCTCATATGTTTCTAAAGAAGCCGCTACCCGGTTCTGGGCCATCAGGGCCATTGCGACAGCCACGCGCACCATTTTAATTCGTCGCGATATAGCTAAGTATACCCATGAAGAAGTAACCCAACTTATCTCTCCCGGTTGTGACACTAAGTCCCTGTCCGGCTTTTGCCAATTAGAGGCCCGTGCAAAGATCATGAAAGAAGAAGATAACGACCTTTGGACACCCCTTTTGATATTTCCCGAAGGCACCACGACGACTGGGAAGAGTCTTCTCCGCTTTCACACATCTATTTTCCGCTTAGGAGTCTCTGTCCAGCCAATCTCCATTAAATATTATTCATGGATACACACTGAATATGTGGGCAAGAGCCTCTTCCGTGTCCTTATACGGAAGCTTTTCAATCCCTTCTGCGTAACAGTGATAACATATCTTGAGACTGTAGCTTCGAATGGCGAACTTTCTCCTAGAACACTTGCAGATGTAGCTGGGAAGCGCATAGCAGACTCTCTGCATATCCCCTATCTTCCGTACACCAGTGAAGATGGCTTCTATTTCCGCAATTTACGTACCACATCAGAAAAGTGTAGCCCGGAGTTTATTAGGGATTATGGGTGGATCGGAACAGAAGATGCCTTGAATTTGAAACAAGATGTGGCGTTTACAGAACAATATCGTCTTCCGAAGGGCCCGATCATCCGACATCCTGAGTGCTGAGGAAGGCCATGTAAGATGCTAATTGGTCCATAGGGCGCGTTGATACAGGCTCACACGCCGGTTTCGGAATAATAAATAATATAGCAACTGTGTGCATTACTCCTTCACCTATAATTGTCGCTACTAGAGTCACAAGCACAGACCGGAACAAGGACATAGACACACCAAGGAGAAAGATCAATAGGAAGAGTTCAAGAGCGAACGCCACTGTTAAGTACATTTGTTTTTAGCTGTGGCCGTAGAGCTATACAAGCCCTCCCAATTCTACACGCTCGAAGGCGTTTCCTAGATCGTTAGATGTGTGTCCCGACCCCCTTTGTGGATCCGATGTAGCAGCATTACGAGTACCTCGATGAGAGCCTATAGACGGTAGACAGGAGGGAGGTTGAAGATCTGATAATTCCAATGACTTCTCTGTAGTGCTCTGTGACCGTGTAATCCGGTTTAGCGGTACAAGCTCTTCATGTATCGTAGATTTGCCGATAGATGAGTGAGGTCTGTTGCTTATACGGCTCTCTGTAGAGTTTGCACTCAGAGCAACCACAGGAGCTGTAGTATCTTGCAGAGTAGTGGGCGTCACCAGTGATGGAAGTGGGGTCTGATAAGATGAGTTTGTTCGGATAGTGGTTTGCGCATTGACTTGGGAGTTATTCTGGGCGTTAGCTCTGGATGATGCAGATCTTTGGAACACGGCAGAAGGTGTAGGCCGACTGCTGGTCTTGGAAGGAACCACCCGATCTAATGAGACTGTGTTAATCATAAACTTCATTCCCGAAATGTCTTTTCGCCTGTCTAGCTCCCTACTCCTCTCATAACCATCCCTGTTGGTAGACGGTGGCTTGATGTTGGCTTGAATAGCTTGAATAATTTTTCTGGACGAAAGGCCTTGGCTTTTTCCCTTTTTTGGTGTGTCAAGTGGGATTACTGGCGTAGTCTCAAGGGTAGGGGTTAAGTTGACCCTCTGTGTAATCAGCTGCCGCTGCACCGGGGTTGAGAAGGAAGATGGCAGCAACTTGTCTATAGATCGTGTAGTAGGAAGATTAGAGAGGTCTGCATATTGTGCTGTTTGGTCAAGACACTCAACAGTAGAAGTTAAAGGAGTTATGGCGGTGAACAGAGAGCTGGAAGCAGGACGACTTTCAGAGTTATTGTTGGTGTTACTAGCTCGAGCAGAGTCATCCTTTTCGTAAAGTGTTGATAAGTTGTTAATGCTGGACCCGTAGTCCTGAGTAGGGCCAGAATGCGATTTATGTTGAGAGCTATTGGTCTCGTTAATTAATGAACTGTTGAGAGGCATGGCCGTAGGCGGATCAGCATCGCAAGTTGAGCACATTTCATGTGCTCCATCCAGTTTAGAATCTTGATTTGCATCCACATCAGCAACAAGGCAGCAATTTCCCTCAGTGGCAATCTGTTGTAGTTGCTCATCTGTTAAATTAGGCGGAAGCTCAATGGCACTGCGGCCTATGGTGCCTAAATTGGCTGGTGTCACTAGCTCCATGGAGTGATAGCCCCGAGCACTCAAGGAATACCTATTATTTATATTAATGATTTCCTGCAGCTCTGCGTTTGCTTCTTGCCAACTAATGAACTTGCCGGGTCCCATCATGAGACTCTTTTGACCTGTCTCAGGGTCACGATTTCCGGTCGACTTTGATCTATAAAGATTGCCAAAAATAACGTTGATTATATTGGAAGTTTTTTCATTAATTTGTATTCCTCTTTCAAGGACATTTGTACGCTCAAGCAATTCAAGCTCGCTGGTTGTCAACCCACCATTGAGAGGACGCTTGGAAATCGTTAGACCGTGGAGGGACTTATTCAGAGAATTCATAAACATGCCGTGATGGTGGTAGTTATATCGTGAGACAGGTTCTTCACGGCCATAGTATTTTATTCGTAAAAATTCAGTTATCTCTGAAGGACGCGTAATAGAGTCATGAAGTCTACTATAGTGGTCACTCAGCTTTTGCATACATTGGATCCGTCGACTATTCATCTTCTCGTTTATAATTGCAGCCTCGTCGTAAAGACGCTGGTATACGTCATCTATGTTCCGTATATCTGCTGGCTTCAGTGGCAAATTTGTAAAGAGAAAGCCGTTGGCTGTAAGGCCACTCTTCTTAAGAAGAGTGTTTGCTATTTCAATTGCTACCTCCTCCTTCTTTCGCGTCCGTTCTGAAGCATATTTGTCGAAATCTTCCTCATCAACAAGCCCTTGGGGCGATTGAATTCCCTTATTAATCAGATTGACAGCCTTCTGTATTTCTGTTTTGATTTGCTCTAAAAGCTGGTGTGCGAGAGTAGCAGTCTTGTCTAGATCTTCAAGCTCCTTTTCAACTGCAATTCTCTTATCTACATTGATGTCATCTTGCTGCTCTGTGCCTACAGCAGGTTGCGGCTGTTCGGTGGAGCAAACAGATTGGTCTGGGCCCACTAGATTGACCAGATAGCTCAGTTCATTGGTTCTTGACTTGCGATCTTCTGAGGCTCCCCTTGATGCACACACAGAACCGGGCTCTGCTCTATTAATCAGGGTTGACATGTCCAAATTAACAATCCAGCCATCTGTGCAGCTAGCTGCTACTGATACAGGAACATATTCAACTTTTTCCTTGAGACGAGATGCATAACTTTCTAACGTGTCCAGGGAGCTAATAAGATTGCCTGGACCATTTTTCTGTAGGTATTTAACGAATAGTGCCTTCTTTGCCGCCAACACTCGACGTTTGTTTCGCATGAGGCGTTCTCTTGTGCGACTTCTTTGAAGATCTCTCTTAAGGGACACAAGATGCTCCAGAACCTGCTCCTGAATGAAGAGCCTAACTGCTCTGTTGAGCTTAAACTCTTTAACTTCATTTAAAAGATACTCTTGGAATCTTTCAGCACGATCGCGTGAAATGACTTGCACCACATTCTTGCACAGTGGCCGAACCTTAATGTTATTCATGATACCATTACCATTGTACGAAGCAGTATTCAGAGACGATGGCTCTCCGTTGTTAGCTTCATAAATCATTGGTAAATATCGCTTCAAAATCTCTCTGCTTCGAATAGAATATTCATGACTAGATGCTGTGTATGTAGGCTGTTCATCAACGATTTGGGTTTTAGACCTTGAGAGCTGTAAATCTATACCGTTAACTGTAACATAGCCACAGCAAGGACTGGAGGATGGACGAGGTTCCAGGTTAGGCTTATTCTGCATTGGAGATAAGGGATCAAGACATACCTCCTCAACATCAGAAGCTCTCGTGTGGATATGCCCGGCATGTGAGAAAGGGCGCTTCAGCTGCCGCATTACGACGGTGTCTTGATGCTGCTCATATGTGTTAGTTTTCCTTGAAACTAAAAAGCAACCCTCTGTACCTCCATCAGGGTGTGTGGAAATGTCAACATAAAACTCATCTGAGGAGAAGCTCAGATCAAGCTCTTGAGGCTCTTCGGAAAGCTCAGGAAGAATGGCGAAGTCAGCAATCGCTTGAGTATCCTTGCAGTAAGACGTGTAGAAAGAAGTTACATCAAGGATTCTTTTAGCCGCTATATAGGCTTGTACATCCTTAGCGCAAACAACCCGTGGATCCAAGCTACGCGACTCAATGAATGCTCTAAACGAATCTGTCAATAATAGGGTATTAAATAGCTCTGCAGGATTGTAGATAGGAATGTGATGAGAATTCCCACTCATGGCAATAAATCCATCGGAGGCAGTGCTATTTCTGAGACTTAGTGGTGTGAAGGCTTCGTCCTTGTTGCCCTCAGTAATAATTGGAACAGCAACTTCTGATTGTTTGCACGACTTAGCAATATCGTCACCCACTTGAACCGTGACCTTATCGCTTATCACTTTAGCACTCTGATTGTATAGATAATTGAATAGGTCTGGATCGTGGGCATCTGAAAACTCTAAATCGTGTATAGAATTATCTGAATACTCTATGTAATTAATAAATGAATCATCAAGGCTACTATCATACTTGAATCTGGTAGGCGTATCTGGGTCAGCACAGGGAATGGAAAGGATCCTATCTACTTCCCGCGGTGCAAGAGACGACACCAAGAGTGGTGTCAGGTCTTTGTCTATTTCCTGGCAAAGGTTCGGATTGCCCTTCCTGGCTATATTCTGCTTGAATAAGGCGTGCTCAAACTGCTGCCTATCAGAGGTGGATAGATGGGTATAGATTTGCGTGACGTCTGGGGCCAAGACTATGTTCATCTGTGGTTGAGACGACTTCAGTTGCGGTATTGTCAGGGGATCCATCGAGATAGTAGAGGCTAAATTGTCACCGAAGCGCACACGCATTGAAATTGCTGGTGAAGGAGAACCAATAGATGGATCGCGAATATAACCTTTGAAGGTGCGGCCATGCGGCGCATGCTGAGAGGAATTGCGGCGAGACTTATCTGTAAAGCTGGTTGTTTTGTCATAAATACTACGCTTTCTCGAACCCGAAGGGGTAACAAAAGGTGTTTCACCCTGGACACTGGATCGCTTGTCAGTGCTGCCTTTATGCGCTGCAGAAGCAAGGTTCATATGCTCATTCTCGTCCACTTCTGCCTCCTCTCCATCATCTATACTGTATGTAATGGCCGTAGCGTCCACATATTTGCCACAATGGGGACAAAAGATGTCTGTACCAAGGAAATTGCCAAACTCGTCATAGTATCCGCCTCCATTCTGCATAGTGTCCGGACCATAAGACGTAGATTGAAAGCGAATTGGAGTATCATGCAAGTCTGGTTGAGAAGGATCTGCTAGTGTTGAGTTCCGATGTACAGTTGACCTGTTAGACATACTATTAAGGTTAGGCATCCATCCACGACCAGGAGTCCGCATTGAAGCACTTCTAGAAGCAGTGCTTCCTTTGCTGTACATACTGGGATCAAGTAAGGGATTGAGCTGGAGCCGCTTCTCTGCAGCAATATCCCCCTCCCAGTCTATGGATCCATCACTGTCAAATGAACTATTGAACTCCTGCGGCTCCGGATTGATGTAGTTTTCAGCTATTGTTCTGTCAAGACGCTTTAATATCGTCTGTTCACTGTCTGAGTCTTTTATTTTTATTCCAAATGTTTTTAACAGTGCCTTCCTTATCCAGTAGAGCATGTCTAGTTGCTTGTCAATGGCCAAAGGTGTTGCTCGCGTTTCAAAACCGGTCATAGGATGTTCTCTGCCTCTCTTTCCGTGATCAAATTCCAAGAAGCGTTTGTACGTTAGTATCTTGCGTCTATGTTGAAGCTCATTAGCGCGATAGCGGCGCAATTCAGCGTACACGGCCTCCTTGTCTCCGCTCAGCATAGATTCTAAAATCTTTATATCACCGTTTAGCTTATCAATTAACAGATCTTTTGGCTCAAATATTGAACGTTTAGTAAAAAGATTGGTCGGGGTCTGGCCCGATAGTGGTTGAGTGTTGACCTTGTCTGGCGTAGCTGACCGCGCCTCGCCAGATAAGAAGCTTTGAAGTAGTGAATTGTCCGATAATTCTGCAAAATCAGCTTCTGTGTATGGCTTGTTTTTCTGTCGCTGAGGTGAGCGCATATCGACACCTGTCAGTTTGTAGAGGTATTTTTCCAGCTCTTCCTTTCTATAATTGGCCTTGAACGTGGCTTCATGGGCCATATTGAGCTCTTTCGTCTTACTAGACAGGTCCTGCTTAAGGAACTCAAGCATCTTCATCGAATCTTCTAGCTGCGTGATGTAGGCATTACGCCGCTGAAGCTTATCCATGAGCTGTCCACGAGTCTGTCGGATATCTAGATCGTCACAATGGAGGTCATCTGAGCTACTAGGAGAGGAGAGAGTGTCATTCCCGGCCAACATTTGCAATCGCTGCTGACTTTCCTTGGCCGTTTTCTCAAGCTCTATGGCGGATACAGCCTCCTCTATCTCCCTCTTTTTCTCGGAGCCTCTAAGTAGTATGTCTTTGAGATGCAAGGTTTGCCCATACTCAACATAATCACTACGCATGAGCTTCAACAAGAGCCTCTTAGACTTCTCTGTTTCTGCCAGATACATATCTCCAATCTTTTGTTTCTGAAAGAGCATCTCCTTCAGTCGTACAATCTCTGTTAAAAAGTTAGTCTTCTCTGCCAATTTAGCGTCGACCACAGACTTTTTGGCTAATTCGTTTATGTTGTTCATTAACTGTGATTGTGCAAAGGCTACCGTGAGATCAAAAATCTTTGACATATCGCTTTCATGTTCCTGAATGTGTTTTGAAATACAATCCACGACACAATACTCAACTTCTTTTTTAATGAAGTGGTAAAACGAAGATTGCAAAAAGGATTCAGCCTTATCGATGAATGGCTCGAAGATAGGCAAGACAGACCGGGCCTGCGTGTGGTCGGTTCGGACATCACAGTGAAGAAGTTCCTCAAACATGACATACATTTTCCGATTAGCTATGTCGGACTTCAGCTGCAGAAGAGCTGCGCTCATAATGGACGACAAATGATCGCTAATGCTCTGAGTGGCCTGAGCAAGCACCTCCTTAGCAGAGGCACCCATCATTTCAAGCTTTTTCTCGTGCTGCTCAATGTACGACTCATTTGGGTTATGCATAAGGACGCGTTGCCCGTGGCCGACTGGAGCGCGGTTCAAATCGAGCGACGGAGTTGAGAGGCTCGTAGATAACATGCTCCGCCGCCAGTTATTGGAAACCGCTTCGCTAAACGATTGCTCTGCGTCTAATTGACTATACTGCTTTCCTGGAGTGTGCGTTTTATTAAAAGAAAGAGGCACGGAGGATATAAAATTCCCATTTTTGCGGGACTGCACGCCACTGTATGGACCTTTTTGAACAGTGTTTCGAAATCTATTCTGCAGGAGATTATCGCCAGGCAGAAGCATTGATATCTAAGCTCATCAGTCACTCTCTACAGAATCAGCAATGCCCTCCTTTGGTCTTGGCGAGGTTCTTTACACTTCTTGGCTCTTCTCAGTTGCGCTGCCAATCCTACCATAGTTGCATGACCTCTTACCAATCTGCAGAACAAATCCTTCGGGAGGCCTATGGTCCAACGTCTCCTTTTCTAGCAACCGTTTACATCAATATGGGGATTGCATACATGGCTCAATCTGATCCTGTGAAGGCGCTTACTTATGCCCAGCGTGCCAAGAACATTGTAGACAAAGATCTGTCTGGGAAGTCGTCTGCCGTTCTTCAAGGGAGCATCTACCATCTAATGGGGTATGCAGCAGACATGCAAGTTGACAACAAGACGGCAAAGGATTATTATGAGCGTGCAGTTAAAGTGCGAAAGAGCACAGATCCATATAGTGATGCCTGTGGAAAGTCCAGCTATAATTTGGGATCACTGCTCCTGTCCATGCGCATGATCGAGCCAGCAGAGCAACACCTAAAGACTGCCCTACAAGTGTATCAGCACTTAGTTCAAAAGAAACCGACTGTTTATGGATTAGCACAAGCTCGAGTCCTTTACCGCTTAGCACTACTATATAAGGAAAGCAACAGACAAGCCCTCGGCGCAAAGGCGGCAGAAGCTGCTGTAGAGCAATTTAAACTTGTTAAAGACCCCAAAAGTGCAGAGTGCTTAAGCGCATCTGCTCTTTTGAATTACTTTAGATATGGAAGCTCAAGAGGAACCTCAATCGAAGAGTCGTCTTCACTAGCTCTTGATTGGTTATAGGATACTTGATATCAGCACATATCTGCTTCTAGGAGTCTTTCTGCATTCTCTAAGAAGGCAATCATATCTGCCTGACCTGCTTTAATGGCTATATCCAGTGCTTTTTCGCCGTTCTTGTTTCGAAGAAATACCTCCTTTTCTACCAGCAATGATGCTATATCTACGTATCCTGCCTCAGCGGCTATCATAAACGCAGTCACACCACTACAACCATGTTGAAAACATTGCAACCCAAGTTCTCGTTGAGCAAGAGCCTCGGCTGCCAAAGCATGATGGTTCATGACAGCAAAGCATAGCGCAGTCCAGCCATACGTCGTTACTGAGCCAGCTTCCGTGTCTATCAATAACCCTACGCTAGTTACGTCTCCAGTTGCTGCAGCCATCATAAGGGCGGTTTCTCCTCTCTCATTTGCCATCTTTCCTTCCCACTGCACCAACTGTTTCACTACGTCTGTAAACCGGTGCTTCACAGCAAGCATTAAGGCTGTGTTGCCATTTTCATCTTGCTGGCCAGCCTCAGTCTCCAAAAGACGTTGTACAGTACTTGTATGATTGTTGATGGCGGCAAACATAAGTGCTGTCTTTCCCTTGCGCCCGTCCGGAAGTAAGACATGCATGCGCCCCTCTGTGGCGAGCAGGAGTAAGACTACAGCCTCATGGTCTCGCTCTGCTGCGAGCATCAGTGCTGTCATACCATTGCAATTTCTCATCCCCGACTGCGTATCAAGGTAACGTTCAACAAGAGAAGCATTCCCTTTCACTGCTGCAATCATCAAATCAGTTGTACCACACACATCTGTGGTCGAGCTTTGCGTTTTACTGAATGTCACGTCTCTGCTCAGGGCGTTAAACGAACCTCCTACTGCGTTGTGTAGGGCCATTAGTTGCAGATTTGCGGGTTTCGTTGTCATTGACATGGATGGCAATCTTACACTAGCGGATCTAACAGAAGAACCTCCACCATTGCGCTCTAAGAACTGTGGCTTTTGTTGTAAGCAATCTTGCCCAGTATTTAGGTTGCTAAGGGTCAAGCTATCAGAGTTCATGTCCACGTTGCAATCGGAAGCATGCTTTTTTCTTAATGAGTCTGTATTTGAAACAGAAGTACTGTTATTGTTTAATATACCATTTGAGCCGATAGACTTTCTGAAACTTGATACCACGTGTTTGCAGGTTAAATTGGGAGTTTGAAGCGCAGAGGATGAAAAACTACTATGCGATCTGGCTCCATGACGTATGGTATTAGCCATCTTCGACATGGATGGGGTGTGTACAATGGAACTCGTTTTACCTTTGCTGCTTGATCTCGTGTACACTATGCTTGCGCTGGTAGGTAGTCTGGATCTGTCGATAGCACAGTTAGTCGCACCATCCGCATACGTGGACTTTGTAAGAACAACCTTACCAGCGAGATGCACGTTTCCCGAGGCTTTAGATGTCTTTAGATCAGTGTGTATATATGCAGAAACTACTGGACTGCTTGGATTCTGCAGGAATGTGACAATATCTCCACTAACCATCCCTACCAGCTTCTTGATTGAGTCCGCAACTGGTGTTGGATGGCCAGCGATCTCTGTTATGATATCGGGGTCCCAATGATGCGTCTTTTCTGCATTGCTAAGCAGTTGAAGGGATAACCTAACATCTAGTAAAGTCGGACGGGAATTATAATCGGGCTTGAGCATTTCTGAAATTAGCAGCTTCATTCCTTCGCTGACGCTGCTAGGAAGTGGAGCATATTTGCAGTTAATTATGTTATGCCTCAGAATAGCTCCCGTTTCTGCGGAGAAGCATCTCCTTGCTGCAAGGGCCTCATACAGAATGCATCCTAGAGCCCACACCTCCGATTGCTCATTATAAATGTTACTAGTAAACACCTCGGGTGCAGTATACGATATCATGTAGTCTGCTCGAGTTGATATAGAAATCTGTCCCGATGAATGCCATGAGCAAAGTCCTTTAAGTCTGATCTTTCCTGTGCTGAGTAAGAGGACAGATTTCGGCGTAAGAGCGCCCATAACGGTAGCCCCATCAAGTCCACAGGCCGAGGAGCGGAGAGCGCTCAAAGCATGTGCTATCTGAGACCCAATAGCTCGTGTCTTTTCCTCTGTACAAGGTATTCTTCTTTCCCGAGTTCTTACAAACAAGTCTTCTAATGTCCCGTCGTCACAGTATTCCATGATCAAATGGATAACGCTAGGCTTATTGTTGCGCAGCACCCTGAGGTAACGAGTGGTTAATTTTCCATCTAGCTGTTGAAACAGGTGTATTTCAGCTTCAAGCATCTGCTGCTGTTCTTGTTTGAGCTTTGATACGTCTATTTGCCTGCATGCATAATATGCACCAGAGGTTTTGCCGCGCACTTTCAGGAGACGCTCACTGGGGCGGTTGACAATATCTTCTATTATCTCAAAGTCTCTAGAAAACTCGTCAACGGACATTCTGTCAACCGCTGAGTGAATGGGAGCAAAAAATGATTAAAATTCCCATCTTTTACATTTCAGAGGAGCGTTCCTGGCTGAAATAAGAGCTTTCTAGAAACATGGCAGGGGAAGGGAGTGCAGGGGAGCAGATTGATCCCGTCATTTTGGCCCAAAGAGTAAGGAAGCTTCCTGAGGAGTATCGTGAATGCATTGATCTGATGAAGCGAGGAGACTTACCAGAAGCCTGCGTTCAACTAATTAGTTTGGGCGAAGTACACGTTCAAGAGGTTCGACAGCACAAGCACATCCTTGGAACCATGGAGGCAGCGCTTAAGGATCAAACGGAAAAGGAGCTTCTGTTAGAGCGAACACAGAATGCGCTCGAAGCTAAACTAAGCAGAATGGAGACGGAATTACGGCATCTACGTAGTCAGAATGAGGCGAAAACTACAGAATTACTCCTATTAAAGCAAACTATGGAAACTCAAAGCGCCACAATGGATGAGGCCTTTCAAGAGAATTATGATAAGTTAGAAAGATGCTTACTAGAGCGGGATGAAGAAATTAGTCGACTTCAAGAAATAATCACAGATAGAGATCGAGTTATAGCAACCAGCCAGGCGCAAGTCGCTGAGCAGAAAAAGGACCTTCAACTCATGCATGAAATCAATGAGAAAGCAATAGCGCTGTCAGCAAAAGTAGATGCGTGCATCAGAGAGCGGGCAAATATGGAAGCACTGCTTGTTGAAAAGGACACGAAGATACAGGAGCTCCATAACATCATCATAGACATGGGTGAGAAGTCTCTCCGCGACAAGCAAACCGAGGATCTGGAGATATATAAGCGTGTTGCTACAAATTCTGTCTCTCTGGGCCCCGATGTTCCACTGGAAAAGTCTATTCGATTTTCGACCCGCATAGAGGTAATAGAAGAGGGAGAAAACGGTGTCATTGAAAGAAGACAACAAGAACTCAAGAAGCGCCGACGTCGGGTATCGAAGGTCTCCTTAGGAGACTCTGGAACGTCTACCAGTGATAACGGTGGCTCAGCTTCAGCTACAGATCTTGAATATGAGTATATAGAATCCGACTCAGAATCATCCAATGACATAACTAAGGAGACAATCCATAGAAAGCCTGTCCACGCGACTACTCAGACTGAGTACAACTTGAAAATCCACAAGATCCTTCAAGTGAGCAATGAGGATGACAAAGATCTTATTATGGAGCTTAAGAGAGCCCTCCTCATCAAGATACGAGAAATCTATAAGATAAAGCTGGGGCTGGGCATTGTTAACACAGTTCAAGATGAAATTCTAAAATCGGACTTGTTTAATAGCAATGTTGTTGAAACACTTGTATTACAATCATATAGAGACGGGTTATGGGAGCAGGATCTAGAGCTAATGAGAGCGCTGACAACACAAAATTACAAACCTGTTGACAACACAGAACAACCAGACTTAAAAAATAACGAAAAGAATGAGATACATATCAATAGAAATGCAATTAAATCACTTGTTTCATTGTTGCCAGTGTCTATACCCGATAGTCTTTGGGAAATAAGATGCAATCAGGCGATGATGAGACAACACGAGCTAGAGGCAGAGATCCACCGTCTTGAGCGTTTGAATTCGCGATTGTGTGCAGATATTCATGCTATTATCACTGAGCAGGATAGCATGTACAAGCTAGTGAAGGATAACAAAGATACGCGTGGGAAACAAAAGCTTATTACATCAGTTAATAAGTCCCAAACTTCCGCTGAGGGCTCCTCTGATGCATCTACCCTGTCAACGCATAGCGCGATAGTATCCCGCATGAACACCCATATCAGCTCCATCCTCAATCCGCCGCTATCTAGCGGACACGGAGGACACCTACTGAAGATACTTAATAGCATGGTTGATTCCAAAAAGACAACAGAATTCTTCTATGATACAGCAGTCCGCTATCGCAGTATATGCTACAATGTGTTGGAGCAATTTTATTCTAAGGGCCGTCTCCCTTACCAAGGTGTGAAGGACAGCTGGTCATCTAGTCATGAACTTTCTCTATTGATTAACGATCTTACTGCTGCGCGAAACAGGATCATTATGTTTGCTGAACGGATTGATGAGTTGACAGCTGAAAATGAGCTTCTGCAGCGCCAGGTGAATCTCCAAGCCAGGATCAGTTTGCAAGACTTGTCATCGCTAGACAAAGAGGACTCAGTAGAGGCTCTATATGCTAGATGCATGGTTGCAGAGAGCTTAGCATCCATGTATTCCTCCTTGCTACTACAGGGGCATGGTCTTCGATGCAAAGAGATGGAAGAGTCCTTGCGGCTATTTAATGAGGAAAACGATCTGTTACTGACCAAGGCTATCCTTCAAACTAGCAAGCAAGCATCGTCGACTACCCAGACATCCTCTATCTCGGTTAGAAGCAGCTCCCAGCATGACTCTGCAGGCCTACAACTGGCATTTCTAAGTATAAAGCGATGTGCAGAAGCACTGCTGGAGGGAGAGGCATCTTATCGTATTTGCAACAGCCTAGCTCTCATCCTAGAAAGTGAAACGCCCACAGAGTATAGTTCTAGACTAGCTGCTGCAGGTATCATATATGATGAGGTCCCACCGCAGCAGGCAGGCCAGAATAGCGGCCCCAACTTTGTCCCGACAAAGCTTTCCGCTGTCGAGCATGCAAGAAAGTCTCTAACCCAGCAGTCAGCGTGGCAGAAAGGCCGAGCCGAAGGTGGCGTCATTATTCGCCCCAGTGAGGGCCTCCAAGCTGAGCTTCAGGCATGTTTTGCGGAATCCAAAGCATTCAATAATCTATCAGCAGATGATAAGAAAGTTGAACTAAAAGCTCTTAAATTAAGGCTTCAAGGGATGAAGTCTCGAATCTCTTCCCTTTGCGAAGGACTAGGAGAGATTATCACCTTACCTCCATTGACAGACAATATGACAGGAGATTTTTCTAGGCTAACAGTTCCTTCTACACAAGCAACCACTAATGCTGGTACTTCGTTTTTCCATCACACACTGCACGAGGATGTTTCCATGTTGGGGACCCAAGAGAATGGAATGCTCATTCTTTCATCTAGCAAGCGCATTGTAAGCGCATGCGAGAGGAGGATCTCAACCTTAGAGCAGCTTAATACTGAGCTAGCTGATAGAATTTATCGTGAGGTTACTCGCTTAAGTCTTAAGTTGGGTGCAATTCGCTTTATCTGCTGCAAGAAGGACAAAATCCGATCCAATCTTTCGAACATTCGATCATTATATACTCAGGCACTACGTTCCTTCAAGGCTACGGAAGAGAGTCTTCGTCAACAGCTCATTGAAGCAAAAGAGACAACTACAAAGCTAGAAAAGGAATTACAGTTATATTCTACGAAAAAGGAAACTTTTTCTGCTTCAGTTCAGTGTGACATTTTACAAGGAGCTGAGTATGATGCGTTAGTTGCCTCAATTAAGACATTAAAGGACGAAAAGCAAGAGCTTATGGACCAGGTCCTGGCTTTGCAAGCTGAAAACACTAGCTTACACAATGAATGTACAGACATGGCTGGTCTGCGTGTTCGGCTCCAGAAACTTTATAATGCTTACACAGGGTCTGCGCAAGGTTGTAAAGCAATTATTGAGAGCTATGCGGTGGACATTGAGAAGTGTATTCAGTACCATAGGCTCCAATCTCTTCATACAACACCCACTGAACATGGTAGAGGTGCCAGTGCTAAACTATCAAGTCCTGAGAGGCAATTTGATGTACAGGACTTGCTTTTATCAGGCGTTCGTGTAGAGCCGGAAGGTGCTACTGAGGCATGTAAGGTACGGCTTGGAGACACTCTTGGACGCGTCTTCTCTAAATTTAGTCGCATGTCCGATCGCTTTACTATATTACGTGAAAAAGTACTGCAACTCCAGCAGGAGAATGAGGATCTGAGAGAAAAGCTTTTCTCAGCTTCCATGCCTACCAAAGCCGAACAGCATCAAGTTGGGGATAATCTAGGTGAAAGACCGTCTAGCAGCCTTCAGATGTATTCTGATTCAACTGGCGATGAGAAACTTAGCTTATCATTTCTTGATCTGTTAGAAACTGCAAATGGACCGATGAGCGCGTCATCTGTTCAGAATCTTATGCGGAACAAGATAAGGCTTCTCCAGGAAGAACTGTTGTCTGCTAAGAAGCAGATCTCCGAGTTCTCTGGAAGTCAATCTGATCGCACTGCCAGCTCCATTGGATGTCAGGTTAGTCTGGTCAATTTAGACGCCCCTATGGATTCCTCTATTACAACTCCTGCAATGCTCCACTTCGTGCGGTCGCCTACATCGCTAAGAAGGAGCGACACCTTTGATAAAACGGTAACTGTATCAGTGCAGACTATGATTGTTCATACCTCCTACAAGTCTTCCCAATCAGAACTATCTCACATGGATATTGTCTCGCGAATTGAATATGAAGACTTGGCCAATAGGATGCACAATCTCTCTGCACTAAATAGCAAGGTCAACACGTCAATGCCTCCAGATGTTGCATTGTCCCTGTATACTGATAGTATCACAACCATGGCTACTGGGGTCGGAACCCAAACCCCTCGGTTTGAGTGCCAAGACTGTAAAAACATGCAAGATATGCTGACTGCAGCTCAGATAGAAGTGGAAGAACTCAAGGAAGAAATGAAAATAAAAGCTAGGGAAGCAGATTGCGAACTGCTGCAAGTGAGGGCAAAGCTAGAGTCTGCGATGGAAAGCATACAGATGAAAGTTGATAAGTGTAATATGCTAGAACGGCTTTTACGCGACGAAAATGCTAAAGTGCAAGGATTTATGCAGCAAATAGCCGATATGCAGGAGCGAGAGCGCTCTCACGAAGGTGCACTGTCCAACATTCAAGCAATGTTGAAGGCTGAACACGCTAACTCGCTGGCCAAAAAGGACAAGAAGCTCGCAGAGCTCCAGAAAAACCTTGAAGGGGTTGTCGCGGCAAACGAAAAGATGCAGGCGAAAAACAAGTCTCTACATGCAGACGTAGTCCGACTCAAGAAGGATCTCGATGCTCGACGAAGTACGCCGTCTACAAAGAGCCCTGCTGTACTTGCTAAGGCCGAAGAAGTGGAGGCCCTCAACAAAGAGCTGACTGTGGCCAAAGGCAGGATCAGAACGCTGGTTTCAGAATTACGAGCTGCCAAGCAAACCATCCAACAACAACAGAAGCAGCACGAGGCATATCACTCTCATCCTGCGCTACAGCCTTCTCCACGAGTAGACCTCCAAACACAGCCACTGCGGCCACAGTCTGCGCGTGCACCCTACACGCCCAGTGGTTCAGAGTACCGCATCCCAGCAAAAGACCGGCCGTTACCTCGATCCAATTCTGCGGGGTCGTTTACTCTCAGTAGAACCCCAGTTGATCCCGGCCCGATGCTAGCTAGCCGCGAACCAATCTCTCCGCGGCTTCCAGGCTCTATAGAACGCGCTGTTAATAGCGAGCTACGAAACATAGACTACATGATCAAGCAATATGAAAAGTATCCTAATTTAGAAGACACTGCCCCCAATCGCATATACCACGAACCGACAAGCGGGTTAATATTAGACGAATCCGATAGGCGACATCTCCTAGGCGCTCTAAGTGATGAGGATATTTCTGCGATCCTAACAATGTAAATGCGAAGTACAATCTATAATTATTTTCAAACTAAGATTGTTACAATGAAAATACTTAATCTGGCTAGGATACTAATTTACTCTCCGTGTCACCGGGGTGAGGTCACCTACTACCTGAGTGATCTCTCATGTGAGCCGCCACCACTCTCCGGTGCGGGCAGGATCAGTCCGCCTCTGCCAGCCAAGCACCCCAACTCCTATTTCTTGTCGAGGGATTCACATAGGTCACGTGTGGGTCCGTCTCAACCAGCACGGCGAGTGATTAGTGCCATCACTAGCTTCGGCCCTCGGTTGCCCTGGGGGCTCCTTGAGACCGGCCAGGAGAGAGGCCTCCTGTCCCTCCGTACTCCTACACCCAGTGTTGACCGTCGAGCCATGTTGCTTCACCAGGCCTGTCGCCTCTGTGACTGCCCCGTCGCGTCACTGTTGCTACTATGGAAGCTAAGTGCGTCGTCGACATGGGCAATGAGCGGGGTCTCTCCTCAGCTCCTGGCGAGCAGGTTCTGTCCCGCGCAGCACAGAAGCATGCTCAGGGCCCCGAGGGACCGAGTCCAAGGGTGCAGCGCGTCCCAGCCGGAGGAAGGCCCCGACGCAGCTCCTTGGAACTGTCTTGTGGAGCAAATCATGATCGTCTGCTGATCGTGGTTGTCCTGCCTCGCCCTTGGGGAAGGGCCAGGCGGAACCGTACAGAGCACGCATCCCATCCTATGGATCGCGCTGAGGATCTCGCTGAAGGCCTGTGCAAGAATCTCCGGAACGCCCTATATTCGGATGAGGATCACCCAGTGCGGTGGCGTTTCCATAGGAGATTTACTCAGACAAAGGCTAGCAACCCAGGTTCAGTGAAATAGAATAAATCTGATGCCTATTGGGGAATAGCAACTGTGTGTGTCGTGGCCAATGCAATCATGAGCCTCTAGCTGGCCCTTTTTATTCTCACTACGACATTGAAGCGTGCTTATCTATGTTAGAGAGTTGAGCCTATGCAATATGAGAGAAAGCTGTCTTGCCTTTTCCACCAGATGCAAAGCTGTGGCACGGTTTCACACCTGGGCATACATCCTTTGTCAATGATAAGTGGATTCAGGCCGCGCGTGTTATCGGCCCTGTCTTCGGACCCGATGACACGAATGACCTGGATGCACAAAGCTCATACAGACGCGTGATTCTACCATAAGAGTGGTGATCCAGAAAGGAGTTTCAGGAAGGTTATTAAGGATATCGACAAAGTTGGGCCTACTAATCTATAAGCCAGAAAACGGAGATCAGCCCATAAAGGTAAGCCACACTGCATTTCCACGTCAGTGCTCTGTGAGGACTAAGGGCTAAGTGGTGTGGATACTTTTGGCAATCCCTTTACAACGAGGCACCAAGAGTACTGAATTTCTGGGCCCTTGGAATCTATCCTGTTGACTCTGATGCATTCTAAGGGTGATTATGGTTGTGCAAGGTCTGCTTTTGTATGGTTTGTTATGGGACAATTAGACCATAGAATACTATATGCTGGGATAAAGCCGCTTACTGAAAATGGATAGAGCGGTATCCATGGCGTTGCCCACGTCGGCGCCCTGTTGCGAACCCCTTCCATACGTGATGACCGGCCTCCGCAACACGGCCTAGGGAGCGTGCGTTGGGCGACCCTCCCGCATGCCCGCTGCCTCTGAGCCCCAGTGGCATCCCAGAAAGCGGACAGAAGAGGTGGCGTCACCGACCGGCGGCGACAAGTCCCGCCCATCGCTGGGCTTGATCTACAAAAGAAGCTGGGTGGCCATGCACGTTCTTGCTCAGGCGTGCGGTGGACTCCTCCCCCGAGAAGAGGAAGTTCACTCTTGTCAGCAAGGCAGGCCTTGTCTATTCCATGTGGGCTGCGATCGCGTTTGGTAGTCAGCCCACGGTACATGCATCCGGAGTCTAACGCAGCACGAGTCAGCGAAGGTGCCAACATAGTCCGGCAGAGGGGCATCGGCGGCCACTAGCAAAAGGCGCAGACTCGTGGTACCTGCACCCTCCTCCATGGCAGGCCACAGGGCACCGGATGCCTGTCGGCATCTGCAGGTCATGGTCTGCGCCGTCTCATGGTTGAGTACCGCGCCCCCTTGATGAAGGGCTGGCCGCCGCCACGGACAGTCGTGCCCCGGGCGGCGAGCTGCGTTTGCGGGGGGATACCTGAGGGGCAGGTGACCCGGCTGCGGCGGCTGCTGTTGATGAACGGGTCCAGGGTTCTCCACCGTCGGGCCTAGACGTGCTCCACTTCGGTATCGGGGTTAGTCTGTTCGGGCGGTGGGGGCCCTCTCTGGCACAGGAAAAGCGTTCGACCAGGAGGTAGCAAGGCTGAGGCTCACCGAATCCGTGATTGCTATCTATCCACAGATTCTGCGAAAATTGGCCCCAGTACAGTAATTGTTAGTTTGGCGTAATAGAAAGCGTGAATCTAATTGCGCATGACATGGTCAGTGAGAGTCCCACTCGTGCTGCAGAGAGCGCTGGCAGTGGCCCCGATAGCATCCCCATGTTCAGTCCCGAAGAGCTGTATCAGCGCGAAGGCGAGCTGCTAGGCAAAGGGGCCTTCGGTGCCGTTCGCGCCATCGATGGGTGTCCAGGCCTTTCTGTGGAGGAGAGGATGATCAAGCGTAGTGAGAAGAAGCTCACAGAGTGCGAACTGAAAACTGTCACAAGACTCTCCCAGCCTAGCGTCATCAAGTATCACCAGGTGATCAGGAGCAACGACCCATCTTCGTCATCATGGACCGCCACCACAGGGATCTCCAGAAATTTATCACTGCCTACAGGGCAGCTCGTAAACCCAGTCCCAAGGGGCTGATGTTCCCTCTCCTAGAGCAGATGGCTGACGCCCTCGCCTACCCCCACAACCCTCGCAAGGCGGCCGAAGACGGGAGCTTATCTTACAGCCTCGTCTACGGGGACCTCGGGCCCGCCAACTCTGATGAATAGGGACGGCTAGCGCATCGTGCTCGCAGACTTTGGGCCCTGCAAGGACTCTCTGCATAGTGGAGGCACCTTTGCAGGAACGTCGGCATACATGGCCCCCGAGACCTTCATACGAGACGAGCACCGCTTCGGATATCTGAGCCTCTGGAGTCGTCATGTATGAGCTTGCCGAGCTTTTCACACTTTGGGAGCCAGAGGATGCGAAAGCAGTCTTTGACAATGAGTGGAGGCCTGATTTGGGCGCCATCACAGATGAATTCGTAAGAACTGTCATCGAGAAGATATTCATCCTGGACCCGGCAGAGCAGCCCACGACCAGAAAGATCATTGGCTTTTTCCAAACACTCAATAGCCCTGCAATTAAAGCGGAGGATCAACATAAGGAATCCGAACATCTTGCAGAACGCTCCACTCCGACAAATGTTACGGTTTCTTTAACTTCCTCTACGTCCACGAACATGTCTAAGCCCCCACTTGTATATCTTTTCGGTGGTACAAATGTTGAAGCTGCTGAAGAACACCTTACTGAGGAAGACAGTGGTATCGACCCTATTCATTGAAGAATAGAGGCTCCTTTTGTTACAGACGAGGGCGCATGTAGCAAGAAGTATATGGCTCTTGCGCGGAGCATCCCAGCTCTGACTCCCTTCATTATGCGTGTGTCGTTATTCTTGACCAGTCATATAGCAGGTCAACCCTCTTCAACGACCTCTTTGGAACATGCCTCAAGGCGTTGGATGAAGATGACGACCGACAAAAGACGACCAAGGGGCTTACAGCGGGACTCATCCCAGGTGCAGGATCCTATCCGACCATACTACTACTCTATTGTAAGGGGTCCGAGAGCAAAGAGCGTGCCACAGAAAATGATCAGAATATTGAACGCTGTATAGGCGCTTTCGCATCTGCCATTGCCGACATTCTTATTGTTAATATTTTGCAGACAGATGTTAGTCGTGTAGAAGGATCCTGCCTCAATCTCCTCAAATCGATCTTCTCAGTCTACTTCCAGCTCCGCAACAACGTCAAAATGTACATCACAAACTTTAAGCAACTATTACACTTTCTTTGTGAGTCTACATCTGCACATACCATCTTTCCCGGGAACTGCGTCTTTTCATAGCATCCACCAAACTGGAGGAAATAGTCTCCTGTACACGCTGTGCATTTTCCATTACTCGGAGCACAACCGACTGCATCTCTCGCGGACCTTGTTACGGATGTACAAATACCGTTGATGGGTGCCTGCCCCGTAATGCACTTGGAGCAGTAATTGGACCCTGCTATCTTGGCATTGCACATGTTGCTTTCACAACCAGCTCCAGCTGCTCCTGTACACTCCTTAACGCACGTGCCCTTATCGGTAGCCCCAGCACGTACGAGTATAAATCCGGGGTAGCAGGCCGTACAGGAAGTCTCCTTGTCATCGGTCTGGCAGCCGGCGCACGACTCGTGGCAGGGGGTGCACACCTTGCTGTTGGCATGCATCCCGGCAGGGCAGACTGTTAGACACGCGTCCTTCAGGGGGCTCAGGTTGTTTGTGGTGCACTCAGAGCACGTAACTATTGGACCTGCTCTTGCAGACGCTGCCTTGAGAGAGCACTTTGCATAGCCCTCTATGCCACCATTGGCAGTATCGCTGCACTTAGCACACACCTTCTTGCCTTGTTTATCAGTCGTGGGGAAGAATCCATCCTTACACTCCTCTACACTGACACAGCTGGATGTCTCACCTGTCTTCAGATACTTATCTTCCTGGCACTCAGTGCATGTGGCAGGGGTGTTTGCATTAGCTGGTTTGTTGCACTTGGCGCATCCAGCGACCCCCTTCCAGCCACTTGAGCCTTGAACATCTCCACATGATATGCACTTGCCTGGATTATTATCTGCTGCGGCCAGGAAGTAGCCATCCTTACACGACTTGCACTTAGTATCTCCTGTGGCCTCACACGTTTTACAACTACTATCACAGGCAGTGCACCCTTTACTGCTATCTACAAAGTACCCGTCCTCACATGCCGTGCACGTGGCAGCCTTGGCGTTAGCATCGGTTGCTGCGTCAGGCGTGTCACACCGAGTGCAGTGCGGCACGCCCTTGTACTTGTGGCTGTTTCCAGCCAACACTTCTTCAACATCTCCACATGGTATAACCGATTGGTGTGCATTATCTCTATCAGCATCGGGTGGCAGGAAGTATCCTTGCGCGGCTTGTGTGCACACTCCAGCAGCTGCTTGTGTACACGCTGCATTGCCAGGCGCCTTGGTTGTTACATAGCATCCGCCCTTGTACATGAAGGAGCTTCCCGTGCACATGGTGCACTTTCCTTCTGCTTTTGCATTACACACAGCGTTGTCTGGTAAGCACACTCCGTCCGTCGGGGCAGATTGAGACCCACCGCTGTTGCACTGCGAGCAGTACTTCTTGCCGTTGATGACGGCGCTACAGGCCTTGCAAGCGTCGGGCTGATCACCAGAGACGGGTGTGCACTCCTCTGTCGCCAGATGGAGCGCAAGGCCAACCAGAAGTATAAAGACATTAATGCTCAACCATTGAGTCGTTTGCTAATGCCACGCCTACCAAGGTCTGAAGCCTTCACGGATACACAAAGAGGTCAGTGCAGCGCTACATGAATGTTCCAGAAACATATTTATGTTGATAAAAAGATAATACCAATCTGTCTTGTAACCAAAGATATTTCGTTTTGTAGTGTTCTAAATCGAAAAGATCATGATTTGTACAGCGTGGCTTGAGCATCTATAACGCATGGTTATCATGCACTATGGAGGTCTTGATATGCTTTAATGGGATGCTGCTCTGGAGGAGGCTCAATGATTGCAACAGCCTCCGTTAAGCTACATCAGAGACGCTCATCGAGCTTTGTAGCTACCTATCTAGAGCATCGGGCTACTATCCGTGGCACTATATTCCGAATGGGATGGACATACAGATTCCGTAGGGAATCAAAGGAAAATAGACAGTTTTGTGCTGTTTGAAGCTCCCTTCAGATTTGTAGTAAAGGAAATTGCCACTCTTTAATAGTTGTGACCCCATATATCTATACGGAAGGTCTATATAGTGCTTTTAATGCCCTGAGACGTTAATCTGACCAGTTGAATTGGTGACTTGAAGAAAAGGCCTGACCTTATACTGGGTTTGTAATTGGCTAAACACATCTAGTCCTATGCTGAGATCATACACAGAAGAAGCGCGGTCCCGAAGTTTAGTGTATAGTTGGATTTCGTAGGGGACCGGTGTCAGATCACACAGCACCGCAGGAATTACAACTATAACCTCATTTTGCTTATAGTACCGACCTGGGACATCGAAGAATTCGTATTCCCTTTCCTTGCCATCGAAGCGGGATATCATTGTAAAGCTGACGCATAGAGGCATGGATCCCGTGCTCTTCCTGGCGACAAACACGTTCCGAGCATTCAGAGAGCTTGTGACAGCACCAGTGTCCACCTGGGTGAGCACGTGGGCGCCCCCAAGGCTCACAACGCCCTCGATAGCAAAGAAGACCCTCCTGGCCATGATTTACTATAAAATGGATTCACCAGTTAGTTCTCAAAGAACCCACCTATTACTTGCTCTTCAATGCCGCACTCGTTCGTCATGCGAATGATGCGGAAGTAGCCGTCCTCACCCCAGTCAGGGCCCCAGGAGTTGCGGATGATCCAGTAGTCAACGTCGTACTCGTCTGTGCCGTAGCCCACCATCTCGACTGCGTGACCACCCTCGACTCTTCCGTAGGTGTGCTGGTAGACGCCGCCCTCATAGTACATGAAATCGGAGTAAACGGTGAAGGCGGTCTGGAGAGGGCCGCCCGTGGCGAGAGCCTTCATGATAAGGTCGCAGTCCAGACCATAGTCGACAGCCTTTGTGGCCTTGTAGATGGGCAGGTCGCTGCCATCGGCGCACTTCGTCGGGCAGGTGCCGCGGGCGCCGGTGCTGCCGCTCTGGTAAGGGACGCACTCGTCGGTGGTCGTTCCAGTCTTGGTGAGGAATCTCCAGACGCTCGGGAGCCAGCCGCCGTCGCAAGCCATGTCTCCACGGTCGCAGGAGACCACATACTGCGGGGAGTACTTGACGGCTTTCTTGTCGAGGCCAGCAAAGCATCGGCGGTCGCCGACGGAAGCTACGGAGGAGAAGGCCCAGCAGGAGCCGCATCCGCCCTGGTCGACAACCTCGGGGATGCAGTGGGGATACTCCTCGCGGAAGTCAAAGGAGTCGGGGGCCTGCGTGGCGGACACGGTCCCACGGGGAACCGCAGCCCTATCGCGCTTGAGGAAGGAAACAGGCATCAGGAGGCTCGAGATCTCATCCTTCGTGAGCCCCTCGAAGCGCTTCGGGATGCCCGCCTTCCACCTGGGATTCAGGGACTTGATGTGGTTAAGCTCGGAGACCGTCAGGGCGGGCGCAGAGAAAGCTGCAGCGGCGAGGAGAAAGAGCTTCATTTAAAATTCCGTAAGCTTTAAAACATTTAAAGTTCATTTATAGGGTTTGACCACCGGCAAAATAAGTTGTCCTCACTTTTACACGTGTGCATGCTCCTGCTTTCCAATAGCTAACCTCTCATTTTTTGTTCAAAATAGTTTAGACAAAGTCCTACAGGAAGACACAACTTGGTGTCCTGGTCATTAAAGTGATTTTACTGGGCGGTTACGGGGCCTGCTGACCAGCGAAATCAAATACCCCCCTTTATATTTGAGATTTGAAATTCAGAAGAGGGAAATGGGCTGGTTAACGGAGTATGTATCAGACTCTACCAACGTGAAGAAGGTCTGCACATACCGAGACGCCATCATTGTGCGGATGAATCCCTACATGCAGTATATCCTTATCGTTGCAAACGGTTTCCAGCAGAGCAATATAGCGGCAGCCACGTTCAACGCTGCTTCTGCCCTCTTGCTTTTCTTAATTGTGCGGTACAGTCCTAGTAATGCACTGTTCAACATACTGACAGGATACGTATTAATCTATACCCTGCGGGTTACAAACGAGCTCCCGTACACCCGTTCCCTACTCAGTGAGCCCGTGCGCAACATTACGCAGCGCGATGATGCTGTAGAATACCTTTTCTCATTCTTGGCTATCGTCAGTGATAGAGTAGATTCGCTCGGAATCTTCCACCGCCCCACAAATATTCTTGCGATTTTTCTGGCAATAGGTGTTATGTCTCTATACATAAGCATACATATCCCTGTGTGTGTTGTGTGTCTTTCCTTTGCCATCTTTCCGTTTATCAGGCCCCTGTTGTACGAGCATTGTGCCTGGTTTAAAGATGTCCAGGCAGCAGTTGAAACAGTGACAAAGTATGTGTACGAGGAGTACAGCAACCTAGCTATTTCTGACGTGGCTGATTCATTACGTCTTGACGGTATGTAAACTAGTAGAAGCAATTGGAGCTATGACTTATGCTCGCAGCGCCTCCCCTTATATCCCTTTTGACAAATACAGTGTCCTCCATCACAGAACCCGTGTCCATTGCAAACCAGGCGAGATATCGGGTCTGGAATACATAGAGGAGAGTAGCATCCTCCATCCTTTATGTCTACACTTGGCAATCTGCATGCACAACGGTAAGTATCCTCACTATTTCCGAGGAAAGATCTTTCACAGCTTCCATAATTATTACATATAGTATAGGTACCATTGCTTACTTGCACACAATGGCTCGGAAAACATGTGCCGTTAATGACTAAGCCCTGACGCCCACACTCTTCGCATAGCTTTCCTTCATATATAGACAGACAATTACATCCTTGTTTGCTGTCACAGCTCCCTCGGGCTGAGCAGATGATGTATTTGCCATACATGTCCTTTCCATTCAAGCATATATTAGGTGTACACTCTACCCCTGTCCATGTGTAATTATCGTCGCAGATGCAGGGTGCTATTAGGTCATTGGTGCAGTGACCATCAGGACATAGTTCTCCATGTATGATGCATCCAGGTGGCACGCATAACGTGTTATTGTAAAGAGCATATCCAGGTGAACACTGACAAAAGGCACGAACGACCCCATTGGTCGTTTCTCCCCTTATGCACTCTCCGTGATCATTGCATATGGTTTCGTTTGATACACAGACCAGAGGAATGCATTCCTCCTTACTTTTAATGAAGATCTGTGCAGGACCGCAATTTGGTTGAACTTTCTCGCAATATGTTCCATAGAAGATTGAGTTACATATACAGCGCTCATTAGCGCAAATACCGAAGCCCGAACAAGCCATATTGGTTACCAATCCTGGCTGAACACATGCCCAGGACGCACACTGCCCATTGGCCTGAACTGCTGCTCCATCATCGCACACGCAATAGCTCGCCTTCTTGTATTGATAAATGCACGTACCAAATCCTCCGCAAATATGTACATTGTTCCCATCATCTATATAACATTGTGGTGGCACACAGACGCCGTTGATGCGTACAGCATAGTTAGAGCACTGTGCACAGAAGACACCGCTATATCCATCTAAGCACTCGCATCTGAAGCTAGAAAAGCGTGTATCATAGATGCAGCGACCGCGATCTGTGTTGCAAAGATTTCCATTCCAATCAACACACTCACGGGGATGGCATTCTCCATGAGATGCTGCATATTCCTCCTGACATTGGCACTCATAAGCATTTGGGGATATTTGAACGCATGTGCCGTCCTTGCACAGAAGCCCCTCGGAATTAACGCAAACGGTAGGCTGACAACCGTAGATACTGGTCAAAGAAAAGCCCTCATAACACTTACATGAGTTGGACCCGGATTCAAATGAGATGCATTCCCCGTGACCGCCACAAATCGTATCTATGTAAACACATTCTGACGGCACGCACTTACCATCAATGGGTTGGTATCCGTCGACGCAAATAAGATCATTTCTGTACGAGCACTCTGGCCCTGTGTATTCGCCAAAACAAAGGCAACTATCAATCTCACACACGCCATGGCCAGAGCATATGATTCTAAAGTCGCTCTTTAGGAATGGGCTAGTCGTTATGCAGGTTTTAGAAATACATGTTTTCTCTATTGGATATGATAAATCATCGCAAACACAGACGATGACTTCCATAGGATCTGAAGAGTCATTGGGTTGAGTGGAAATATTACAAACACCATGGCCTCCACATTCAACATAATCTCCAGACGATAGCAAAACAGTACATAATGCCGGAATGCACTGACCATTTATCATAACCCCCTTAGAAGAGCACACAGAGCAGGTGGGGCCTGTATAGTGACTGTAGCACCGACACCCCCAGCCATACCTTTGTGTATGAACACAGTATCCGCGGTCTCCATAGCATACTTCCTTTTCTCCTGTTAAACAGGCTTTCGAAACACATGACCCATTAATGAGCAAAAACCCGTCCTCACATAATGCAAAGATATTAAGACGAGGAAACTGACGTGATAAGGTAGTGGCGAAAGTAGTTAGAGTACAGTACCGGCCAGTAATGGATTGAGGACAAAGACATCCATGGTCTAGATCACAGAAGCCAACGCCGCCACACAAGGATGCTTTAGATTGATAAATATCTGAGACACAATAGGAAGGCTGACATTCTTTGTCTATCTTTACATAACCATTATAGCATCTACATTGATATCCTAGCATTTGGCTCTCATACGTGCATTGTCCATGGGGGCATGGAACCATATACCCGTTTCTGTCAAATAGGCAAGTTGTTGGATAGCATAATAACGTAGAATGGGCGGAAGCGTAGGTGTAACAGTGGCACACTCCACCAATACAATCGCCGTGCGTATTACAGATGCTGTTTTCAACCACACAGGACCTAGGAAAGCAACTCCCGTCCACAAAGACTTCGGTTGGCATACATGGTTCGGCAGGACGCTCACAAAAAGATCCCCACCACTGGTCATCACAAGAGCATCTGTTGTCTATACATTCTCCATGTCCATGACAAACAAGGGGCTCATAACTTGCATCTATGCAGTTTCGATGTACGCAAGTCGATGAGTTTATGGCTATGTAATTTTCGTTACAAGCACAATAGAAATTGGGATTGACACCAGCACAGATGCCTCGACCACTGCAGACCAAGCCAGATGTATCGATGCATGCGTGAGAAATACACTTCCCTCCCACCATCTGCGCGTCATTTGTGCACATCTCACAATAGTCTCCTGCATGCAAAGGCGGGCATTGGCAGGTATCTGCACAGACGCCAACTCTAGAGCAGACCCCTTGCTCTGGATGCTGTATACACGTCGGAATAGCGCAGTACCCTGCAAAAACCATCCCCGGAAGGCATTCACATGCATAGAGACCCGCAAGAACCTCTGAACAGATACCACCCTGACATGGTATAGGGGTGTCGCCGATGCAAGGAGTGGGAACACACCCCCAGTCAGGAAGATAATGCATGTCATCATCACAGTGACAGCGATAACTATCTCCGTGCCCTTGCTGACAAACTCCGCGGCTATTACATTCAACACCTTCATAGACACACTCGCGAGGTACACACTTTTCGTGCACATAGACCTCATTCCATTTGCAGCGATTGGACTCTTTAATATCAAAGGATGTTCTCAATAAAGGCTTCGAAAGGGACTTCTTAAAATAATGAGTTTTGCCAGTTGATGCTACCTCATCCGGATGCGCGTCTGTTGAGACACTTGCAAGAAAGCCAACTAGGCAGCACGCTGTCTTAAAAAACTTCATTTTTACTAATCTAAATGCAAAATTCTAGTTTATAAAATTCCTGAGGCTTCATGGAACGCTACAAGGAGCTTAAGGTTCTAGGCAAGGGATCTTTTGGCAGGGCTGTGCTAGCGCAGGAAAAGAGCACGGGGATTAAATATGTCATGAAAGTTATCCACATTGCGCCGCTGAAACCCAGGGAGCGCGAGGAAGCACTTACCGAGGCCAAAATACTCTCTAAGCTCAAGCATCCGTACATAGTCGGCTACCACGAATCGTTCGCAGACACCAGGTACCTTCACATTGTGATGGAATATGCAGATGCCGGTGATCTTACAGATGCTATAAAGCGCCAAAAGATGAAAAACTCATTGTTCCCAGAGGACCAGATCTGGGACTGGTTTGTTCAGATATGCATGGCGCTCAAGCATGTTCACGATCGCAAGATTCTTCATCGAGATTTGAAGACACAGAACATCTTTCTGTGTACAGATGAGAACGACAGGTCTCGCAAAACAGTAAAGCTGGGGGACTTCGGCATAGCCAAGATCTTACAATCAACACTGGAGTGCGCGAGAACAGCCATCGGTACTCCATACTACTTGAGCCCAGAGCTCTGCGAGGACAAGCCGTATAACAATAAATCTGACATATGGTCTCTTGGGTGTGTGCTCTATGAGATCTGTACCCTACAGCACGCATTTGAAGCCCAGAATATGAAAGGGCTTGTTGTCAAGATTCTTCGCGGTCAGTACCAACCCATATCAAACACATACAGCCGAAATCTTAGGGAGGTGCTTGACCGTATGCTTCAAAAAGACCCCAATAAACGCCCGAGCGTGAATCAGATCCTGAAGCTTCCGTTTCTCCAGGAACGTATAAGAAGGCTCTTGCCAGAGGATTATTGGAACGAGGAGTTCTCCCATACTATCATCCATGGCCGTGGAAACGCTCTCGTTGGATTTGGAGCTGGGCGTGTTGGTATTCCCGGCAAGCCCGTTAGTGGAGTCCCGCCGAAAGACGACGCTTCTTCAGAAGCCAGCAGCGCTGGGAGGCAACCTGCGTCGAGACATGGTCCCCCGTCCGCACATCCGCCTCCACCACCATCGCAGCAGAACAAACCAATGTACTTCAATCCCAACGGGGGATATCAGCCACCGGCAGCAAATCAGAAGCTGTCTGCGGCGGAGGTTGCTGCTATGGCAATCAAGAATAATCAACGACCGCCACCTCCTGTCAACCAGTACCAGTCCAATGTGAAGCAACCTGGCATTATGCCAGGGGCCATTGCAGTCGGTGTACCAGGAGCTCCACCAGTCGTTCAGGTGAACAACAAACTTAGTTACGATGAGATAGTGCGCCAGGAAAAGCAACGTATCGAGGAGCAACGCCGCCGCTATCAGGAGGATCAAGCGCGCGCTCAAGAGAAGGTCCGTCAAGATTATATCAAATACCATGCGGCTCAGCAGGAAAACCGCGGGTATCATGCTGTGCAGGGTAACCCCTTTGCCAAGAAACAGGCGCAACAAGCATCTGGCGCTCCAGGAGCGGGGCATGCACCGTCTGCGGACATGCTCGATGCCAAGTTCGCTGACCTTCAAGATTTCATCAATAGACCAGTGGCAGCCCAGCAGCCTCAGCCGTCTCGACAATCACAAGCACCCAGTATTTCCCAATCTCCTACACGTCAGCAGCAGCAGCAGCAACAACAACAACAACAACAACAACAACGTGACCAAGCTATACGCCGAAACATTGAGGAACAGCGTAGGCATCAGCAAGAAGTAAAGCGTCAGCTGGCCCCAGCCCCGTTAAAAGAACAAGCTAAAGACGCAAGGGAGCGTGAGCTCATGGAGGCCCACAACAAAGTTCAAAGGCAAAAAGAAGAGCAAGAGCGTCGTATTCGTGAAGCCAAAGAAAAGCAAAGAGCTGAATGGGAAAAAAGGAACAGAGAGTATGAAAAGCAGATGGAGGAAAAGCGTAAAGCTGCTCAGGCAGCAGAGGATCGTGAGAAGGAGAGGTTATTTCGCATTTCCAACGGACCAGCTAATGCTGGCAGCGAAGCCAATCCTTCCAAAGGGGGCATGGAATCCCTTCTACCTCCCAAAATAATGGATCCCGGAGTACAGAACCGCAATGATCCGCGTAATCATGAAGAGCGCACGGAGCAGCAAAGGAAGCTTGAGGAACAGCGGGATGCCATGCGAAGGATGATCGCAGAGAGGAGAAGAGAACAGGAGCTAAAGCGCGGGGAGCAGCGTGCTCAGCCCCCTGTGGATGAGATCAAAGAAAACCTGTCAGCGAAGGGAAGGCGTCTCTGTGATGTTCCATCTGTGCAGGAACCAGCTGTTCAACCAACGGGCCAAACTGATGACAAGAATGCCCTTGCATGTTTGGACGAAAAGGATAGCGATAGCGACTTTGAAGATCCATACTTCAATCCAAACGCACCTGATGGGAATGGTGGCCCAGGATCTTTGGACAAAGCGGAGAAGGCGGCTAACATGATGAAAATGCTGCGGGCCGAAACCACCGAGGAGTCCATCAGTCAGCGTATGGAGCGCCTGCGGATCCTTCTAGAGGGTGAGCTGGGTCTCACAAACTTTGTCAAAGCGTATCAGTACATACGTACCAATACTGAGCAAGGCGGCGAAGACGATCTTAACCAAAACGTAATAGTAGGCATCATCGGAGAGACTAATGTGGGCTTTATCAATACTATCGTTAGCCTGATATACTGTGAGGACAGGTTCAATACTGTCAGGTGATTTACCTCGGTGGGCGAAGGTGGTGGAATGTAAATAGTCTTGCATCAAAAAATTCACTCATGTCTCTTGATATTTTGGAAGTGGATGGGCTTGATTCCGTGGAGCAGAGGGGGGCCCAGTTGGCCCTTAGATCATTAGGAGAAGAGGGCTATATTCGTTTTACAATAAGTACATACACCAAGCTCAAAGTGCTGATAGGGACAGAGGTTCTGAAAAGGCTTACTGTTTGCGTCAATGATGTCTACCAGGAGCTAGAGTACTATAGACCAGAGGTTAAGGATGGATTTAGCAGCTTTGAGATTGTTGCGCCCTCCCACGCAACTGTGGGGATACACTTCTGTCAGTATATTGGCTGAGCTGAGCGTTAAGAGCAGTATTCTGCCGCATTATATCACATCTCCACCGGCTCAGCAACCGGCGCAAAAGCAAATTCCGCTAAAATGGCATTAAAATAAAAACCCCTTTTAAAAATCCCTTTCGATAAAAAGTTCTCTCGTCTGTCCGCATGCCCATCAACTTCAACAACTACGGCACGTACCATGTTCTCCATTCAGAGCTGGATCCGGATAGCTATGTTTTGCGCATCAACGCCAACGCTGATAACGGGTATCAGAAGTTCTCCGTCGACCATACAGCAGAAATACTGGTGAAGCTGAACCAGCCAACAATACGCTCATTCACAGTTCGAATCGACGAGCAGGACTTCAGCATGGACGAGGTTCCGTATCAAGCAGAGGAAGACCACTTCCAAATTTGGCTTTCTGTCCCGGCTAACACGATGGTCAAGCTCGAGTGGATGTGAGCGTCGACGCTGCTTCGAGTAAAGCACGAGTAAACCGTAAGCGCGACGCGCCGATGGTGTCCGGCTTTTGTGCTAACGAGCCATGCGGAGGCGGCGGCAATCGCGGTCTGCGTCCTCTCTCAGGCCCTGTTTACTTGGGTGGAGCTGGAGCTAGATGCTTACTCCGAAGACCGTGAGGAAACAGAACATAGTTTTGTTGTCCCACCTAACGTGGGCATAGCCGTCTGTTGTGGTATCCCACATCTCAGCCGCAGATGAGTGGAGTCCTGCACCCATCTTCTGCATCAGGACACATGATACCAGATACTTGTACGGCTTTTTGAGAGCCACGAGTCTCTTCAGGACCTCGTCGATGACACTCTCGGTAAGCTGGGTCATCTTGCTTTGTTGATATGTGACCTGACCAAGCATCGTATCCAGCGTGTCCTTGACAATCCCGTTTACTTCCTCTGAAACAAAGGAAATTTCGGCCATAGCTTTTTATTTAACAGTACCACCCGCCATTGCTGCAAAGAGACCGACCCCAGACCCGGCGCAGCAATGGTAATGATAGCACTTCTGTAGATCCCGTGGTACAGTGACACTTAAATGCTGACTCCGAAGATTGTCATGACACAATACATTGACCGATTCTCCCATCTAACAACAGCAACCCCGTCAGTCGTTGTGTCCCAGTAGGCCGAGCATCCCGTATGTAGGCCTGCGCCAGTTTTCTGCATGAGCGTGCATGACACTAGATACTTGTATGGTTTCTTCTGGGCAACAAGCTTCTTCAGGACTTCGTCAATGACCTGGTCAGTAAGCTGTGTAACCTTGCTGTGGTTATATGACGTTGAGCCTATCACTTGCTCTATTGTATCCTTGACTATACTATTCACCTCTTCCGAAACGAAGGAGACGTCTGCCATTTTTTAATTTGGGGCTCGCTAAGGGTTTACATGACAGATCGAAGGCTCTGGATCTCTGTATAAAAGTCTTTGCACTTACTGATCCCCTCCAATAGCTCCTTGAGTTCATAGAGCACCTTGTCCCGTTCGTCGCCATAGAACGACGGCACCAAGAGAAAGTTGTTGCGCTGCCATATTCCTGTACTAGCACTGTTATCTATGAGAAGAATACTGCTGTGGGGCTTGCCTACTCTACTCAGATCCTTGACAATGACGTGTCGCTTATCGACAAGATACTTGACGCAATGCTGCCTGTACATTCTGTACTTAATTAGCCTGTTCGGATCAATGATGTTCACAATCTTGTCTCCATACTCTTTGATGGCATACGTAAAAATTGCTAAGTCGTAGAGCTCAGCCAAACTGACCAGGAAGACATCCAGTCCAGGTCGCTTAATAACGGAGAATTCGTAGCGCTTCCCTCGCTGCTCTACTACGACGTAAAAGTCTTCAGTCTCACGGGTCTGCGGAGTCCGTTGCTTGGAGCACACGAGGGTCTCGTCCAAATCCAGGCAGAGAAGGTTTCTGGTGGCGCTTAGATGTGAAAACTGGAAGAAATAGGCGAATTGAGGAGGCAAGTCGCAAGTTCCGACACCATTACCAACAGTAAAGAGGGGAGACGTTGCAGTGATAGGCTCCTCTGCATACTTCCTGTGCTCGTCGACCATGTGTCGGATGAGCCTCGCAGGCGGACGGGGCCTGGTCACAACAGACGCCTTATCAGTATACTTCTCTATAGTAGCAGCTCGTGCAAGTCTCCGCGCCTTGTAGACCCACAGACACCCACAAATGGCACTGCACAGGTCTTTGGCACTGATCTCGTCTTGAGAGGCGGATGAAGCAGGGCCATTTGTTCTTATGGAGCCCAGAGGGACTTCTCTGGTGATATGGGAGCTCACGGAATCGCAGTCCTTTGCATCATAGATCTGGTCCCTCGGCAAGTCACGTGTCTGCTCGTTGAAAACATCAATTGCAGACTGCATAGTAAGCTCTGAAGGCGTGGTTAGCATGGTACTAACTGCACACTTCTATCTCGAAGATACTCTTGAAGACTCAAAGTTTTCAGCCTTGATTTTTATGTTTTTTGCTTACCATTTCAATATCGAAGTATTCTATGGCTGCCTGTGTACGGGGGGCTACTAGCTTGTCTTTAAAGGCGGCAATAATCGTTGAGGCAGGCTCCGGCACATTTTTATCTTTCTTTGAATCGGTCTTCTTGACCACAGGCTGCTTGCGCTCGGACGCTGGCGCTCCTACTGAAACCGTAAATGTTTGAAGGGCTTGTATCTCTGTTGCAATTACAGTGGATAGGTCATCTCTTTCTTGGCCTTGCATTCCCTCCAGTGTGAGCTCTAGGGGCTCCGCGGTCTTAACGACAGGCTCGGCGTCCTTCTTCTTTGGAGGGGGTGCCTTTACCTTCTTATCTTTGTCAGCGGTATTGGCTTTGGCCTGGTCAGTATCTTCCTTATGCTCAAGATAGGCAACAAGTTCGTCGGTGGGAACAAATGAGTACGTAGAGAGAGTTGTTATTTGAGGAAGGACAGATGCAGCGCTCTGTAGGTAGCTAGCACGTGTTAAGAGCTCCTCGCCTTGGAGCACGCGAGTTCTGCTCCAGATACTGGTGCATAGACGCTGCAAAATCCACTCGTTAAGATTAGCTTGACATGCGGAGATTGCATTTGGCACTGGATCTACAAGCTTCCCCTTTGCGTCTGTTTGAGCCGGAGGGGCGTCATTAGCTCCCAAAAAGGTGAATGCTTGGACGTGCATGCTAACCTCCTCATACTTCATGCCAACTTCCTCAGGAACAAAGACATTTAACGCTACAACTCCGCTGGGTGGGATGTTAATGAGACAGACTCTCCGACTGTTAAGAGGACATCCAGAGCATAAAAATGGAATCAGTTTTGTCGTGCATTCGGCCATTCGCGTAGCGTCATCCTTTAGTACATCCCTAATATCAGTAGTGACTTTCACATTAACATCCTCTTCAGCCACCTTCTTCTGAGGAGATCCTTTGGACCTCGGAGCATTTTGAGTAGTTTCAAATACAGGAAGAAGAGGCTTGTGGAATATATTTATAGGAAGAATATCTTCCTCTGTAGATTGATACACTTCTCCAGTGGTAGGTGCATCTGTCATTGGGTTGTACGGGGCCACATTATTGTCTACATCTGGTGGGACATCAGCGTTGGGCTGCTCGTCAACCTTAGAAGGCTTACATGGGATTGCTACCAGCCCCAGTTCCGCAAAGCAATACCCTCCAGGTATCGAGAACTTCAGTTCAACAGTTGACTTGTCATCACCATTGAGCTTTAACGGGCTTCGAAGCTGAAAGAGGTTACTGTTGATGCGTAGTGGCTGAATATCTACATAACTATCTGAAATGGTTATCATAGAGAACTTGAATGGTAAAAGGCCAGATGGGCTTGGTGTCTTGCTTTTTAAATCTGTGGCAGCTTGGAAAATACTGTACCCTTCTAGTATGATGAATGTTTTGTGTTCAGTCGGGATAATAAGATCTGCCACGGATTGCACAAGCGACCCGTTGATACAAATCGGCACTCTCTTATATAAAATGGCACTATTATCATCCAAAGCGTAAATGTATATGGTTGCCCCCGCAGGAACTCCGTCTCTGAAGCAAGGAATCAAGCGCACAAAAGTAGTATCTGAGACCTTCGAGAGAATCGTGTGATCTGCTCTGCTAGAGATATTGAAAGAGATGGCAGGATCGGCCCCTGTGTTAGGTTTTTCATTTCCAGTTGATGGATCAACCTGATCTTGAGTAGACATCGGTGCTGATACATTGGTAGGTGCAACAGCAATGGGTGTCTGTACAGGACGCGCAGAATGAGGTCCAGATGTGTCTATTTCGAAAAGAGCAACGACCCCCATCATTCCCGTAAGCACACCTTGAGTAACAATAGATTGAACTTGCAAACAAGGAGAGTGGTTCTCTTGGTCCTGCCGTACCTTTTCTGAAGGATCACTACCTTGGTTCTGGTCTGTAAGATCATATGACTTGAGCTTTAAATTAGCGATTCCCACTTCTCCTGTGTATCTCTGAAGAGCAGAAATAGACACATTTGCGCCGTGTGAGCTCTGTACAAAGGGAAGCAGGTCCAAACTAAATTTGGCCTCAATCAAATCTACATCCAGCTGCTTCTCTAATAAGAACCTGCTCTCTTGTACGGCATCAATCATCCAGTAATCAGAGCTATTTTGTTCCTGTACCCCAGTGGCAGATCCTTTTCCTTGGGAGCTTGCTGAAACGGAGCGGCTTGATGGTTTGGTTGCCGAAGGCGCCACTGCCTCCAGAGTTTTTGATGCTTCTTCCAAGCGAGCTAAAAGGGTCATCGGGTGTGGAACCGGGACAGAATGGAAGCTGATGGAAAAGAGCAGGGTAAGGTCATATCTATCAAGTTCAGAGATGTTTGCTGGCAGTCGCGTATTCATGCAATACTCCTTGATAACATCAACGGTAAGGACCGATAATCCCCTACGCTGTGTGGCAAAAACTCGCTCGTTCTGCATAAAATAAAAGACCACTTCCATGAAGCATATAGCTGAACTATCACGTTGAGAGGTTAGTTCAGAAGTTTGGGCTACAACAGGAAGATAATCAGCATTAAACGTCAGAATAAGACTTTCTGAGCTCAGCCAGTTGTCCAGATCCCAATGGATGTTTCCGGTGGACTTGATCTTACGTGGCTTGAGAAGCCTCTCAGGGCTGGGATCGCATAGTTCTAAAAGTAGGTTCTCTGGATCCTGCTGAGATCTTTCAGAACAACCATCTTGACTAACACCGTTGATACAAAGAGAGGGGAGCGCAACATTAGATGTGTGAAGCGGACTAATATCGTGGGACACACCGTGCACATCTGACGGAGTATCCTGCTTTAGGCTAACGTCCTTAGTGTTCTTTCTCAATAGTGTTGCGGTAAAGTGATACAATTGGAGTGTTGGCAACATTGAAGCTGTTTGAATCTTCTTTATAGTCGGTAGAAAAGTCTTATCCTTTTCGCCAATAACAGACACAGCCGCTGTATTTAAGATGTTGCTCTGTGGGAGAAGTGTTGACCCTACTCCATCGGCTTGAGACTCTATATCTTCCTGCTGTAAGGGACACTCTTGCTGACTCAATGCAGCCTGTTTTGCTGGCTCTAGTGGCCGCTTGGCACCTCCAGCCAAAGATCCAGCGTTTGCAGAAGGCTTTACTTGTTGCTTAACATCTGCATTAGACTGTGACGAATCATAAGATATAATCTTTGGTCTCCATACTGGACGTCCAGTAGTGGCTGCTTCAAACAAAATCTGGTGCTGGCTAGCATGGGCGGACTCTTTCACGGACATAGTTGTCTTCGATTCGGGCAAGTCTATTTGTTTTGTAGCTGCTTGGCCTAATTTATTGGTCGATGGAGAACGCTTCCCCACTATTTTCGCATCACCATACAGGGAAGGATATTCTGGTATATAGGGCTCATATGCACATACAGACCGTGGTAGTTGTTGTAAGTTTAGCACTAATGCACCACTAGCCAGGTCCAGCAAGGTTGTAAGTCGAACAACGCAGTAGCTCATATCCGTTGATCTCTGCTGATCGTCGTTGAAAAGAGAATCTTCTGAGCCCACGTCACAATGAACCTGTTCATAGACATGATTCTTGTTAGCATACGCTTCTGTCTCATCTATCACGCGATATCCGCGGATGTACTTACTCTTCTTGCTCTTCTTCGGCTTTTCCTCTTCATCGATACGTGATCCTATTTGCACCTCAGGAGCATCCAAGAGGCTTGTCAAAGGATTAGCCTGTGAAGAATTGGCAAGATTGTCACCAAGTCTCGGAGTAGGCGCCAGGCAATCGTTGGGTTGTTGTCCCTTCGTTGACTCTTGATGAGTACACCGTTTGTCACTACGAGCAGATGCTTCTCTATCAATAATGCTACTACCAACAGAACTATTTTTGTCTGGAAGTCTCTTAGCCTTAGCTTCGCTAGCTTCCCTCAATCTCGGAAGCAAGGAAATCGTTTTCATCATCTTTTCCTGGGTATCCAAGGCGACTGTTAGCTCATTGCGATCCATTGTTCTAAGTGTGGCCATGTCGACTTTAAGTATGTCTATGGCCGTTTCGCCCTTGTTTACACTGTTCCAAGGGGCTTCTGGTTTGCCAAGGGGAAAGTTTGCTGGGTCATAGTCTTTATACATGGTAAGCTTTCTACCAGGGAGATAGTTCTGGTTACACTCATAGATCTTGGAACGCATACGCTCTAACTTAAGGAGGCGCCGGCGCTCGGCAGCTTCCTTGGCAGTCATCCTCGTCCGAGATGTCTTCCCTGTGTAGATAGATGCTGTTGGCCCGTGTGTAGGATGGGGAAGCATGACACTATTGTTTTGCAGAGAGACAGGGATTCCACTGTTTCCACCGATTCCAGAATTACGAAGTGAGCAATTATGACCAGCTTCACCAAGATAGCTGCCGCGGCCCATTCCACCCTGAGTTGTAGACATATCGGTTGCTGTCATTCCAATAATAATTGGACCGGAAGCCGATGCTCCTTCTGTGGACCCCACATTATAGCGTCCGTTATTGTACTTTCTCGGATGCTTCTTTTCAAGCATTCTATAGAGCTTTAGCTGGCGCTCAGTTGCATATGTTTGTAGAAAGTCCTCTTCATGGTCTGTAAACTGGTCACTTAGGATCACAGCCAGCACGGGATCCGACACCCAAAGCTTGACAAATATAAGGTCTGGATTATATTCTTCTAAAGCATCAAAGGGTGATGAGTCTGCTGACATCATAGAACTGTTCATGGATGAATCAGAGGAATTGAGGAGAGAGCGCAGAGAACGTGGGGCTGCTCCTGATGCGCATGCATTGCGAGAAAGAATTGTCGGTCGCGAATCGGCAGAACGCGCAGGGATGTTTTCATCTGCTAGGAAGCGTGAGGGCGGTTTGCTAAAGAGTTCCTTGGGCTTATACTCAGCTTTTTCCATCGAAAGGACATCTATGACACCGAGAGAAAGAGGCGTTTGTAGACGTGCTTCGTCCTGAATGACAGACTCAAAGAGATCCAGTAGAAACGTTGATTCAACCCCAGGTTTTGGCTCATAAAGAGAAGCAAAGGTATCCTTCACTGTTAGAGAGGTTGCTTTGACACTAGAGGTAGCTTGGAACGAGTCGCCTCCTAAATTCATACTGTAACGCTTTGTATTCTCGTCTACAGAGCTATCGTCTTTGTGCATGGACTCTCTGTATGAACCTCTGTGTGAATCCTGGCTCGGGCTAGGTGAGTCTATCTTGTTAAGGTCGTCTATAAGGCTATGAAGAAGAGGACTTCGAACACCAGCGCCCTGGTTCTCAGATAGTAAGAAGTGCTTCCGGATCCTATCGCGTATAACACCAAACAACGTAGGAAACTCAATAAGCGTCACCATATTCGGAGACACCTCTTTATCTGTACATTGCAAGAAGAGCTGCAAGGCGTCAGGAGTAAAAGATTTATCGAACGGAATTGAGATCTGCACGAACGATGAGAACGGAGTAAGGAGGAAACTGTACGGGTTAACAGCCATACAGTCCATCCCCATGGCAAGTACACTAGCCCAATTGGCAGTAGATCTATATTTTACACCAGCAGCCTCTACATCCACAAGATGGGGATGGTAGTAATAAGATTCTGCGTCATTGGTAGGTGTAGAATCAGCAGTACCCGTAGTTCCAGATTCCGACCCTTGCTCTATCCTAGTGTAATTAGTCACTGGAATGTATAGAGGATTCTTGTCAATATTCAACGCTGTGAATAGGGTAGAGCTCTTTTCTTTGACGCCTGGTACCAGAGTCTCCAGAGGAGACGCAACCAGCAAGTCTCGCGAAGGGTCTTTACCTTGAAAATATACTGAGACAGAATAGTGTTTGAAGCGAGAGAGGAAAAAGGGTACCAGTGTGTACACCCTGAATGAGGCCAAGGAGTAGGGAAGTTGCGCTGGGATAGGAAGCTGAGACTCCTGTGGATCATAGACAAGAAGCTCGCTATATAGTTTAGTAAAGGTATCTACCACATAGCTAGAAATGAAAGCAGCTTCTGAAACCATGGAAGGGGCGGAACTGGGAGGTGGGACGTCTCCAGAAATAAGCGAAAGAGTACGTAGGTTACTTTGAAACTGAACGAATGGCGGGAATATCAATTGGGTAGTATTTGTAGGGGATGAAGATGGGCCCGATGAGCTGGGGCCTTTTGTTCCAGACTTTTGCTGCATCCTAACGTCTCCAGGGATGTTGGAATATGGATGCTTAACCGTGAGCTTGTCACCTAAGTTAGAGAAGTTGATAAAGTTCGCCATGTCTACGACAACCACAGGGGCCTCAGCGGGAGAAGCGAGCAACGTTGTGTAAGACATTAGCTCTGTAGAAGCCTGCTGCTTCTGAAGGTCCAGAGTACTAATCTCTCTGAGTAGGTCAGACGTCTGAGGAACCACCTTCTTGGATGCCATAAGCCTAAAGTGCAGATTTAGCCAAAAGTTTCCTGGCCGGTTTTTTTGAAAAGCAACCACTGTGGCCTGGATGACACGGGGTAACCAGCGCGATGTTGATCGTGAACGAGCAAGAAAAAGGAAGGAGCGAAATGAGGGCGGCCGTAGCCGTGCTCACACCGGCGTTGACCTAGCTGAGACAAAGGAGCGCAATGCAGAGATCATGCGGCAAAAGCAAGCTGCAGCAGATGCTCGCAAAAGGGAGCAGGGAGGTCAATAGAGGTGAGAGACTTCCTCACACATTGATGTCTTTACTTCTCTTGAGCCTATCTGTATGTAAACAATTAGACTGTCTGCTATATGCCATGCTGCAGTAGGCTTATAGAGTTTATTAGAAGCCACATCACTGGAGGTAGCACACAATGCAGAGCGACCTAATTCCTTGGTGTATTGCGCCAGCACAACTCAGTCTTCTCCAACAGAGCTTTCTTCTAAGATTGAACGAATGAACTTGGCCAAGTGTACGTTTCCATAGTCTTCGGAATCTGTCTTGATGAGAATGTCCTTCATCAGGGATAGTGCCGTCGGGACCATTGTCAGTGAATTGAGAAAGGCTATTACAGATTGCTGACATTCTTCCATGAACTTCCCAGAAAACGCTTTTCGCGCGGTAGGCAATAGGACCTCGTTGCTATTGAAAGCGTACTGTATTAACGCGTGTATACTGGCTTGTAGTTCTTGCTCGTCGACCATGCTATCGAGCTCGATCAAGAGGTCTGTCAACAGAGAGCTTGCTGTCTCACTTACTCGAGGGTCTGTAATCTGGGTGAAGAGCTCGTCACTGAGGTGGTCATAGACGAAGCAGCTTATGTCCGGGATGAATTCTATGAGACGTGCGATGGCTATGAAGTAATTGTTTGGATCGATACTCTTGTTGGCAAGGAATTCCTTTGAATACGTTACGGCGACACATAGCAACGCAGGTACTATCTCCATAAGCTCACTACCGGGATATAGAGCCTGTACGATCTTTAGATAGCAATGGGGTGGATAGCTAACTATAGATTGCTCAAAGTCTCCCTTGCCGTCGAGGGCGGCAAAGACAATCTCCGTCATATCAGGAGACTGTATGAGAACGTTCATAATACACCTAAGGACGTGCAATGTCTCATTGTACGCCTCAGCCTTTTCCGGATCGTCGAGAATGGTCTGTATTGTGAAGGGAGTAATGTGCTTCATCATGTCCATGTTTCTACCGGTTGAGCTCAGGATCCCAATGAGGAGAGAAACAGGAGAGAGACGCTCATGAAAGTCCATTATGGCTCTTTCCAAGTCATAGGAGACGAGGACTAAGGGCGTGTCATAATGATCCTTGATACACAGAGATGCATATCTTCGGAGGATGAGCACTAGAGAAAGGAGCATTTCATAATGTAGGTAGGGTATATTATCATATTGACAATTTATGCCATGCGTCTCAACCTTTACCATGCCCTCCACACTATGCTCGGGCGATGTTTCCGTTGCACTCCGTTCCGATGCCACCGTGTTCATCACAGCAATTGGACTGTGGCGGTCACTTGGTACTATACTTATTTGACTGGCGCCTACGCTAACTGACGGCCCGAGCGAGGCTGTGTGCGTGGAGGAGTGAAGACCATCTACTATAGCGTGAGTCTCTGGAACAGATAACGAAGCAATTGACGCTCTTCTTGGGGTCTTGGTAGCAGGATTACCACCAGATAGGCTGGTTTTCTTACTACCCTCTTCTGGGATTGTCTGTAGGTCAGTCCCAGCGCAGAGAGATGTCAGTTTAGTGCTTCCATAGTTTGGAGCAACGTTGGCTACTCTATAAGGCTGGTGCGAAGACCGTGTGTTCCCTTCTACATCGTCACTATCAGAGACTAGCGTAATACATGGCTTTGTGCGATTAACAATGGACTCAAAGATAACAAGAATAGTGGGTTCTGCATGGGGCATTAGCTCCTGGGGATTTGCTGCACAGCACCTGAACAGAAGGTCCAGAACGATGACTCTTTCATCTATCAATAAATTCTCAGACCCCACTAGAACGCGGATAATCACATAGAGAATATCTAATAACATTTGCTCCAAAAGCTCTCTGCCAGAGAGCATCTCTTCTTCGTTATCTCCTTGAACCATGACCCCATATCCAGTGGAAACACTATACTCGCTGCAGGACTGGGCAGTTCCTGTGCTTGCATGCATGTTATCACGCTCAGAAAACCTAACGGGGCTGCTGGACTTGCTGCGGTCATCTTTACTTTCTCCAATATGTTGCTTCAATGGTAACACAAACATTCCATATAGCATAAAGCGTGGATCATGGGAGAACTTGATGAAGTAGCCGGAGATGACAGAAACTATAGAGGTTAAAACAGCAAGCCGCAACTTGCTGGGATTGATCATATATTGGCCATCAGACTTTTCTCTAAAATTATTGTCAGCAAGCTGTATAATATTTGTTATTATGTCTAACGCCGATTCATGCTCCATGATCGGCAAAAATGCCATATAAAGATCCACAAAGTTGTGAAGTCCGAACTCACGCAAATCGATCACGTGCATCAATCTAGTTTTAATTATGTGACTGAAGATCAATGCAAGAGATGACGGAGAAGACCGGCCTAGCTCTGCAATCAGGTGCAACAGGTATTCAGTCGCCTGCCGTGGAAATTCCGCTTTTGGGCCAGTTACCCTCCGCAAGTTGATGGAGGATAAGACAAGCAACTTCAGGAGTTCCCAAAAGAGAAATGGATTGGCGGAAATTTGATCAACCAAGAGAGTTGTAAACGGCTTCAGCTCAAGGATCAAGGCGTCGAAAAGCTCGACTGCATTTTCTGAAGGAACGCGCAGACATATATTAATAAATGGATAGATGGTGTCCACCCGTGGATCAATCATCTCAAGCATGTTCTGAAGTTCTGGAAGAGATGTAATTGCATTCTTGCAGGCTGTCGACAACTCCATGAGGAGTCTTCGTGTCGAGATATATACGCCTCGCACAAACTTGGGGACATTCTTCGGCAGCTTATTTTCATTGGATGTACCTGTAGCACCAGGATTCATCCTAAAGGCCATATCATCGTTATCAACGGCAGCCGTGGATGGTCGCATAGACAGCATAGAGTTGTTTGGTCTGGAGCTGGCAGCATTCAGTCCATCTGCGTCACCATGGACCAAGATGGTTGAAAGGTTCGTTGCCGTGGCAAAGGTCGTTTGTTCATGAGCAGATGTATGATGTATGTTATCGAGGTTCCGCGTTACAAGAAATTTAAGAGGGTCCTGAGTGATGGTCTGATTTTGATGGTTGGCGTTCAATGCCACCCCAAGCTTAGAGACAGGACCCTTAGTCAGCGACCTATCCTCATTTGTTGATACTGGTCTTGTCGATTGCTTGCTCTCTGCCAGATCTTTCCCCGTGTGCAAGGTGTGAACACGTTTCAATATAGAAACAAGAGCCTGTTCGTCTCCAGCTTTGCATGCCTCAAGTTCTGTATCAGTGAGGGAAAGTTTTATCTTGGGAGCAACTGCAGCGATTCTATTCCAATTCTTTGATGTCACGGTCGCAGAACTCTGATTATCAAATTGCACTATCTTGAAATGCTCTGGGTACAACTTGCTCAAAAGTTCAGCAATAAGATATCCATTGTGTAGATCCTGTCGGGGAGATCGTAATTGAGTAGCAATTCCTTGTCGTAAACACCATGAAATGAGCTGATATGGAAGTTTCATTTTTGGTTCAGGTTTTGAATTTAGGTGCCGCTCCTTTCTATAACTCCTGCCGAATCACATGTGCACAGCGATTATGACCGCAATGAGAGCTAGGACTGCTAATTTACTAACGCAAATGCCCCTAGGTTTCGTAGTCTAGGTTTATCGAACCCTTGAATTTCTGTTGGAGCACATCACGTAGTTGATTGAGCTTGGCCTCTATCTTGCTACAGCGATTAGAGACGACTTCGTATTCTTGCGAGACTGTTGCCTTTAGAGCCTCCAGCGAGTTATCAATGTCCATGGAGTCGTTTGGGAAGAAAGCCGCCCCGATAGCGAGCATCGGCTTCACCTCCGTATCATCAAGCTCTAAAAGAGCAACTGATGCGCTCTCTATGTCATCGAGACGCTTCTTGAGAACCTTGCGCTGCTCTGCCAACTCCACATAAACCATGTGCAACCGGGCAAAGGTGTTGATCATCTGCTGGTCCTGAAGAGACGCATCAACAGACTTATGGTCAGAGGGCAGAAGGCGCTGTGTTAATGACATCCTGGGAATACCTAAACGAAGACAAAAAATACTTGGGGAAGGATTTCAAGGTTTTAAGCCTTCCAAAGTTTCCATTTTGCATGGCCATTAAAAAGGCTCTCTGATGAAGCTCGACAAGATCGAGCTTACTTACTATCCACCCTCTGTAACGATTTCCTACACAAGCAGGCACACTCAGAGTGTCCTTTCAGAAACCGTTGCTGTTCCTCACTGTATGACATCGCTCAATACATGTGTGCAATATTTAGCACAGTCAAACCGGTTTTTGGCCCATTACAAGGCACAGACAGATTACGTTGCGTCTACTCTCTTGGCTGCGCAGGAGGTAAACCTCAAATATAAATATGCACCCAGGGCGGTTGTCACAAGCGAGCTCCTACCCATTACCTCCTGCAAGCTAGATAAATCAGGAGAGCTCGCTGTAGTAACTTCTCATGATAGGACGGCGAAAATCTATGATCTCTCCTCCATTGTGACCAGCAAGGCTCGTTTATCGGAGAGAAGCATATTAGAAGGGCACGAAGGCGTAGTATATACCGCTGAGCTCAGTTATCCTGATGCAGCTATCTGTGGCACAGCCTCCTTCGATGGAAGCTGCCGTCTTTGGAACACCGACACAGGAGCTCCCATGGGGGTTCTTATGGTGGCCGATGATGTTTGTGAGTTTCTCTCAGTGGCATTCTCTCGCGTGAGTCCTAAGCTATTTGCTGCGGGAAACGCGTCTGGCTCGGTTTATATCTGGGATGTTTGCCGACCCGATGATCCATTTGCCTCGTTGCCTCACATTCATGCAGAGGAGGTAATTTCTATCTACTTTGACCACCGTTCTGATCACAGATTACTAAGTGCGTCTTTTGACGGTGGAGTCCAGGTACATGACCTCCGCGTACCACTCGGTGTCAGTGCGTCTGGTAGCACTAGTACTAGCCTTAGGTCTGGATCTCATCTCTCTGAGCCAGCTAACTTATCAATATCGAGTAAGCTTTTAACTAAGCACCCAGCCGAAATTACAGCAATCGACATGGATACCAACCTGACAACAGTGATAAGCGCTAGCTCTGATGGACTTTATAGAATCACGGATTTGCGCGCTCCCGAGTCTCCTCTCTATGAACATAACTTTGGATCCGAGGTTTTGTCTTGCTCTATGTCACTTAGCAAACAGTACACAGCGATCTCAGTCTCGCATGGGGAAGGCGGTGTAGGAGATAACATATCTCTTCCCGATATGGTAAAGAGAAAGAAGATACAGAAGAGAAAGAAGGGAGAAGTTGATGTTTATGTCATCGACAACGATCAACACTCACTGGCAGGTGTGCTCCACGGCCATATCGGAGAGGTCAACCTAGTCAAATTTCTAGCGCCTGGGTTCGGTAATCGCATTGTTACCTGCAGCAATGACAGAACTCTACGGGTCTGGGGTGGTCCCGAGGACCTGAAGAAGAGCTGCGCAGAGGTTGCCCGTTTAGATGGTCATATGGACGCAGTTGCAACGTTTGATATCTCATATGACGCTTCTGTAATTATCAGTGCTTCGGTTGACAATGTGTTCCGCGTGTGGAGCGCAAAGTAGTGTTCACAGACTTCAACTCTATTAGATACTTTTAGCTTAACCCTGAGTCAGATTCTGAGGTACAGCACATGTCCTCAGTTCTGTGCTCAGATATCTTCCGTATACTTTCTGCTAGTGAGTCCCTTTTGTAATGTTCAAAATGCAACAAACTAAGTGATCGTTAACGTATGTCTTCGTCAGGCCTATTCGGCCCGTAAACATATGAGAGGGCAAAAGCTGGATGGGTGTACATCGCGGCAATAGCCCTTACTTCGTCATCTGTGAGTTCATGGTTCTTGATAGACAGTTCGTTAGCAATCTCACACTGGAAATCTTCGAAAATAATTGAGGTACGTCTCATGTATGATACAGGTGGTTCTGCCAGGTTGAGGGGCGCGGCGGTCAGTTCATTCTTCTGTAAGTGATTCATGTTAATGTTTGGTTTGATTCTCATTCTCTCAGTAAATATTTTTGAGAGCTTTTGTCGCGTTTGATCAACCACTTCCATGCTGGTTATGTCTGCCTTGTACCTGTCCCACTGATCGGCACCGTTTGCGCCCAGGAGGTCATTAAGGTGTTTCTCCTCCCCGTATGTTACTATTCCATCGTCAGCTTCAATGGGATTGCGCTTCTCACGATATGGATTTATCTTGCACATGGTCTTGGCGCCCCAATCGCTCAAGTGCATCGACATCATAGCGCGCTTAAATTTAGAGTCAACGTACACCTTTCTTATTATCGCGATGATCATGATTGTCGCGAGGAAGTACGCACAGACAAGCGTGATGGTTTCGTTGAGAACGATAAGAAATGCAATCGTCGCTATCATCATTAGCAAAAATCCCAAATAAGTATCTCCGCTAACATACTTAATAATGTCTGTGGCAGCGGACATCTCGGAATCTGAGAGAGGTCTATACACATAGAGAATATTAAAGCGGTTGACTATTGAAAACACGGTGTAAATGATAAAGACAAACACCGTGGATATAGGTGCGACGATTGAGTACATAAAGCCTATCACCGTCATGTGAGAGCCATATGCTAATTGTTTAAGGTAAGGAAATCCTGTGTAGTAAGCTATTCGCCTCTTAGCGATAGGGTCTTTGGTAATCATAAGCTTGAGCAGACCCAGCAGCAAATCGGGAATCCGTAGAAGCGTGAGGACAGAGAAAAGGAAATACTTGGTAATTAAGTAGTTAATAAATGTAAAGATTTGTGCAGGAAAATTGCGGCCAATATTGGCCACCAGTCCGTTCAACGTTAGGCCTGTTAGCTGTTCAAAATCTATAGTTCCATACTCGTTGAAGGTGGAGGTCAGCATGATCTGAATTATTCCTACAATAAAAATGAGAAAAAGAAAGTTAATTCTGTATTCGAGATTGGCTTTTTCTGTGTTGCTAGTGCAAAAGGCAAGCATAGAAAGGTACTTTATAACTAAGGGCAGGAGGGCCATAAAGATAACTTGGACTATGACAGGAAGAAGGGTAATGCTCATAGACGCTGTTTTATAGCAAATGTAACAGACAACTCCCCCAACGTCGCTTACAGTTCCTTTTGTGAGAGAGACCGTCTGAGCACACTTGTAGCGCCCTTGGCCTGGCTTACACATTCTAATATAGAAAGAATTAAACCATTGCTCACTGTTATTTGCAACCAAGTTTAAGATATATGTCTGAGGAACAAAGTAGCCAATGAAAAGAGATAGGAGAAGAACTAGGAAAATTGAGCGCATCACTAATCTAAACCTCTTTGAGTATGCTGTGTTCCCCCAGATTATTTGATTATACTCTGGTGCAGATCCGACCTTTGGCTCGGTTGCGTTCATATAAAGTAGCGAATTAGAGCAAAGGGTCGCTTCGATCTGTGAGTTGAAAACCACAAATGCGGTCCGGCCGATCGGAGTATCGATGTGGGCCCTGTGCTGCTGCCGTGTCTTGCTTTTTATTGTAGCAGCATCTATTTTCCCGAGCCCGTGGTCAGGAAACGTGGTTCTTATTACCTCTGCAACACTCTTGGGTATACCCAGGAGATACTTTGTAAGCACTGGCCTTAAGCTCCTCGTGGAGACCTCGCCTAATGTTGCCTGCTGCTCCCGATATCGCTCTTCTGCACTGATGGGTCGTTGTGTGGATAACGCATACTCTGTTCTGCTAGAAGAGCTAGCTGGTTTCATCGTGGCTCCTGCAGACACGCTTTCTGCCTCACGAAAGCTTCCTTCTTGTGCACTATAGATTGTACTGAGATGAAATGGTTCGGTAGCTTGCCTGCCTGCTGAGACGACTCGAGGAGCGCTTGGAATTCCATCAACTGAACCCATGCCTATCAGTGGGCCAATTAAATTGTTGACACGCAGGTCGTGCGAAATCTTTGGAGAGATCAACACATTAGAAGGATTAGAGAGCTGCATCGTTGAGGTAGGTAGTGACGCATATATATTGTTAAATTGTGAAACAGATCTGTCACTGGACTCTGGAATGCTTCTATCTTGAGACTCTTCATCCCTGGTTAACATAGTCCTGCTAGGGCCTTGAAAGGCAGTAAGGTTGGAGCCCACTCGTGAAAGAGTCTGAATGCTAGGTAGATTAAGTTCGATGTCAAAGTTATCCCGTTCTGCAATAACGTCTTCAGCAGTCATCCGCGTACATGTAGTAAGCTTGTTGAAAGATGTAACATTGGCAGGCATTGGCGGCGGTAGATGCTTGATTCCGATAAGGTGGGAGAGGTCAATATTCATTTCATGGGCATACGCCAGTATTTCTAACTTTAGTTGACGTGATTTAGTCTTAAAAGGAATCAGTGCCATTTGCGACTTAGATATCTTATTCTGCATCTTCTGGACACGCTGTTTCACGGTCGGATCGTCTATTTCGGCCAATGTAAGTCCGTGCAATCCTATTTTGTTCATGTAGGCCTCCAATTCCGTTACATAGTAATTCACCAACCGATCTGTCTTATGCTGATTTAGAATTAGCTTTAGCAGCTTCTTGTATTTGAACGTTAAGCTCAGAGAATGCTCGGGAACGGGAATTATATAGCGTATGACACCCTGCTGAAAGACGCCTTCAAGAGACTTAGCAAGGTCTCCATATGTTCTTATGCCTGAGGGGAGCTGATCCAGCATGACAACGAAGTTCTGTGGTGCCGAGCGACGTAGAGCACGTTGACGGAAATAGATATACACGATGTGGAACTGATCATAGAACTCCATCATCATGAATGTGTAGATTGTCGCAACGACCGTCGGAACTAAAATGGCATAGGAGCCTGCTTCCACGTGTGTAAGAGACATCTTCGACCAGCCTGTACGATAGTCTGTGTTAAAGTCTTGGTCTACGCCCACCACATAGACAGGTATGAGGATTGTTAAGCCAAAGAGAGACATGATACCGAATAAGGAAATCACCATAGTCTGATACAAAACAAATATGGCAGCCACATTTCCACATCTAGCGTATTGCGAAATGGGCTGGCAAAATACGTCTAGAAACCATATGCTAAATTTCCTTTGCCGCCGCATGTAGAACGGACAAAATACCATTGGGAGTAAATACTTGAATAGGGAGAAAATAAGAAGTACCCCTGCTGTCACTGCTAGCTGTATGAGCGTTGTGGCAGTGAGCGTTGTTTCAAAATTTACCTCTCCTGTAGCAGTGTATGACCCTTTGATTTCTGTGCTTGCCATAGCTTGTAGTTTTTATTACTGATAGAGGTACCCAATTCACTCCTTTGCGAAAAGGCTTGTTCTGCTATAGTCTCCGCCAATGGGCCAGCAGACGATGAACAGTACCGGTCACCGTCTGATCCACAGCAAAGCAGGCTCATCCCACATTTTAACGATAGCTGGAAAGCCAGCGTATGGTCATGAAGTGTTATCTGCTACTTTTCTATTCTGAAGCGCCTCATAGACTCTACACCACGGCTCTTCTTTGATAAAGCTCTGCGACCTTTCCATGCGTGCTCTTACTTCGCGATTGTATGCATCTATATCACAGTTATATTTGTGCGCGGCATCGCTATTGGCCGGAGATGATGGATTCGGGTCTGTCAGAAGGGACTGAATGGAAAGGAGGACAGACAAGATTGTAAAGCAAGGAGACCACTGTGACTGCAAAATATCTAAACAAAGCGAGCCGTCCGTATAAACGTTTGGATGATACATCGATGTTACGAAATGTACAGAAGGAGGTTTGATAGGGTACTCGTTGGGAAATTTCATCCTTATACATAGCTTACCATTCTCCCAAGCTGTCCCGGCGGGCCCCAGAATTATGCAATTCCAACAGCGCTCATCCTTTTGGTCTGGCAGCGCCATGACTCCTGGAATGTCTGTCTTCGAGAACTTCTGGTATTCACGCATCAAACGACTCGTGACAGACATGATTTTTCAAAAGGTGGAAGTTATTGGATAATCGGGTTTATTTTGTTGGTAGCTCTGGACTACCCTCTAGAGTGAATGATCCCACCACAAGATTGCCTGTCTGGAGTAGGGACCTGGGAGTACTCGACCTAGGTGTCTCCAAACCTCACGACCAGGCCGGTCTGACGAGCTTGCACAGAACAGGAGCCGGGACTCCTCTGTGTCTGCCTAGGTCGCACTAGCCGGTGGAGAACCCAGTAAGGGGCAGATGCATTGAGGCCCCAGTGCCTGAGCCGTAAGGGACTGGGGCATCCAAAGGAGCTGCAGAGCACGCTTACCCCAGCGAGTCCTTGTCGTAGCTCTTCTCGTGTCCGATACTCCTGCCCATAATTAGGTAGCGGATATGTGGAACAGTGACCGGCTTCCAGCGTAACACGACCCCTCGAGGCCTTCCGTGCGGAGGCAGACGGCTCCTGCTGCTCCTTAGCCACCGGTGACAGTGACTAGCCCAGCAGGGCGTGACTGGTGGACGACTCCGCCTCATCGACAACTGTGCACACTGGTGAGTCTCAAAGACAGACGGGGGTCATCCAGTTCGTAACGATCATTGGTAGGTGTCCTTTACGGCAGAGGAGAATGCGACCAACAGGCCACAGAGCTGCTTGCGCAAAGTCCTTCCACCACTGACCCAAGCCGACCCCTCGCAAGATCCTTAGCGGAGTTGCGTCCGAGATGTGTGCCTGCGTTGCTGTCCAGGTGCATGTGCCGGCCCTGGTGCTTCCCACAAGCTTGCGAGCATCGAGCTGGCCGCTACCGAACCGTATCAGAAGTCAGCACCAGGATGTAGTCCCATCAGTCAGGCTCTGCAGGCTCCCAGAGCTACGCATCAAAAGGCCGTTCTTCTTTGGTTGTGCAGCGTGGGGAGATGCACCGAACTACCACACCCTCTCCGTGTGGCGTGGTTTACGACGGGGGACGGGGTCCCTGTGCTCATGTCTATCTGCCCAGGACGAGTCGCAGCCCGGGTTGACAATGACAAGCGAGCATCGCCCGGCTCCTTGTCAGCGGGTGGGAGATCCCGCCACCCTAGTACCCACAGCAACGGGTGCCGATCACTGGCAGAGGGACACGACACCCAGGCTCCCGTTCCTTCCACTGATGGTAGCCCACTATGAAGAGCCCTTTGTCGCCTGCACCAACAACCTCAGGCACTGTGGGTCAGAGCGCCTCCATAGTGGACAGCGGTAGCACTATGATGATCTGGGGTGACAGGAGTCCCGGTCTATCAACTCAGGAGACAGCACGCTTTGGGCAATGCTTCCCTCCTGTCCAGATCTGGGAGGACTGGCTGCCTTCTGAGCCCACCTGGCACCTTGTCAGGTGATGGAGTGTCTTAAAGTATTCATTACAAAAGATCAGAAATAGCGCCATGCATTCCCAATAGACCAGAACGTCTCCTAGGCTACTCTATGCTGATTCGCACCTTTCATGGACCCTAGCGATCACTGTAATCTTCTCTCGGGATCCCGCAAGGGACTGTCCTTGAGTGCGATTCCCCCACGACAGCCGGGAGTCGCAGACATAATCCAAAGGGATGAGAGTACTACAGAGGCTGAGAGGAGAGCGCCGATGCACAGGGGTCCGCAGAGACCCGGTTCGTACAGGGAAGGCGTGGAGGCTGGCTCTCCAGGGATGTAGAGCCACCAGGAAAGGAGCTGGCAGTGGGGCTTAGGCGCAGCAGAGGCACCCGATCCGTCCTCTGATTGGCCGCGAGGCAGTAGGCGCATGGGGCGGCATCACCGCTTGTTTTTGGATTTTCTGCTTCCCTGCGCGTTGTGCAGGGGTCCGCAGTGGGCTGAGTATCACAGGCTACACATAGTAGATGCGTTTACTACCTAAGTACCTACGCCTTCCCTCTGCAGATGAACCACCAGCAGAGGAAGCCGACGAGGCCGGCCACAATGACAACCGCCGCGACAGAGATCCCTGCTATGGCACCGGTAGAAAGGCCGCTCTTATTCGTGCTTCCCCCGGTACTTTCACCGTTCATGAGGTAGCAGAGAACGGAGCCACTACCAGCCGATGGAGGGGCGCAGCTAGCGCAGTTGGCGACGCCGGTGATGGATCCCCCGTCGCTCTTGTCGCATGCTATACACTTTTCTTTGGACGGGTAGTACCCTGCAGCGCACACCGTGCACTTGGTGGCGTCGTTCGCATTGCACTCGGAGCACTCAGTGGCGCAGGGAACACACTTCTTAGTGTTACCGCCAGTCTTAGCATATCCAGCCTTACACGTGTCGCACTGGTCCTGGCTGGTGCACGTCTTACATCCGGCCGAGCAAGTGATGAGCGCGCCGTTATTCAGCTTGTACCCGTCGGCCGGAGTCTGACAGGCATCGCTCGCTTCTGCTGCGGCTAAGCAGACGCTCTTTCCGGGGAACTTGGTCGTCTCATAGCAGCCCCCGTTCATACGAAGAAGCCCGTTGGCGCATTTGTCACAGACACCAGTCCCTTTGGTAGTGCACGTAATAGCCTTTCCGGCCGCCGCCGAGCAGACTCCGTTCTGTGGAAACTGGCCGGCTTCCTTGCACTTGGAGCAGTAGGCCGTGCCATCGACCGTCAGCTCGCACTTCTCGCAGTTGTTAGCATTTGGCTCGCATCCTGGTTTGCACGTCCCCGTGTTGCCCTCTCCTTCGTAGCTGAGGGCCTTCTTAGGCTCACAGCTCGTACACCCGTTGGAGTTCCCGTTCGCGCACGTCTTGCACGAGGTATCGCACTTGGCACAGGCGGTTTCTTTCTTGTAGTATCCGTCCTTGCAGGTCTCGCACTGTCCTTGCCCGTTGCACAGGAGGCAGTTCTCGACCTCGCACTTCTTGCAGGCCTTCTTGCCCCCCTCGTTGGTGCCCGCGTAGTAGCCTCCCAGATCTCCGCACGCATCGATGCACTGGCCCGTGGGCGTGAGGGCCTTAGTGCCCTCGCACTCTGTGCACACCTCCTTGCTTGTCTTCGGCTCACTGCACGTCTTGCAGCCGGGGGTGTTGCACGGCGCCGCAGGGGGGTCGGACTTCTTCATGCACCCGGTGCCGGCCTCCTCGGGAACGTAGCCCTCAACGCACTCACAAACGCCAGAGGTCTTTTCCTCGTTGGAGTTCAAGGGGCAGCTTTCAACGCACCCCTTCTTGTTTGGCTGGACCTTCTTCTGGTTTTCGCACGTCTTGCAGGCGACTGCTCCATCGGCGCCCTTCTCGCACGTCGCGCATCCATTGGAGGTCCCCTCGGCGCACGCCTTGCACGTCTTCGGCTCAGTGTCGTCGGCGTAGTGGGTGCTTTGATTCTTGCACTCAGTTTCGGTGACGCACGTGCCAGTGTCGCTGCCATTATCCTTCTTCAGGTACGGCTTGTCGTCCTTACAGGAGGTGCACTTCGCAGCCTCGGTCTTACAGGTCTTGCAACCAGGATCACACGCCTCACAGGTTTTGGTGCCGCCATTTTTCACGAAGAACCCTTCGGTGCCGGTGCACTCTTCTTCTGTCACGCAGGAGGTGGCTGAATCTGTAGCCGTCTTCAGATACTTACCTTCTTGGCACGCAGTGCATGTGGCAGCCTTAGTGCCACTAGCTGATAGTTGCTCTGGTTTCTCACAGGTAGCGCACCCAGCCACCCCCGTGTATATCTTATCGCCAGTAAGTGTTACGCCCGTCGCGTCTCCGCACGAAACAACAGAGTCGTGGGCGTCGTCTGTATCTGCCGGCGGGACAAAGTACTTATTTCCAGCGACAGCCTCTGTGCACTTACCAGCATCTGCCGCTTGACACATGGCATTGCCAGGGGGTTTTGCTCGTTCATAGCACCCGCCCTTGTACATGAAGGAGTTGCCGTTACATCCTGTACATTTTCCGCCTGCGTGTGTCTTACATACTGCTGTATCAGACGACACATCTGTGCATACCCCGTTGACAGGAGCGCGATCAGCGGGATCTGCCTTGCATTGAGAGCAATACAATTTACCATCAATCAGAACGTTGCATGCCTCATCGGCACAATTGGTAGTTTGATCTGCACAGGTAGCCGTTCCAGCTTTTTCTGCTATCTGTGCCGTCCATACAAACTGAAGGATTACCCCCGCGAGAACAAATCTACAGAACATTGGGGTCAGCCGGTTACTAGGAGACGGACAGAACTATTAATACATTATTATCAATCTGTGTGATACACAGTAGAGTGTAATACTGGGCACACTTCTGAACGACGTCACGTGAGTGATGAGAACGCCATCCTGTCATTCGCGGAGGGCCTCTCATTCTCCCTCGTTATAGACCGTGGCAACAGAGACACAACAGGCAGCTCGTCCGTCTCCGTAAGCATTCCAGGGAGTCCTGCCTGTCTGTACGAGGAGGTTTACTCTTCCACCAAGGACGGTTTCCGGCTGCTTCCGGTACATCAGTCGTGCCTGGACCGCTAGTCTGTTGACCGCTCGGGATTTCAGATATGAAGGCTTGGATGTGTCCAGGTTCTGGTGGCGGTGATGGAGTATTCCACGTGGGTTTTTGCAGGGGCGGGTCTTTCTGAAGCATACCGCAGGCAGATCTGCGATACACTGACCCACTACCATTGACGGGTGCTCTTGCGCTAGTCTTGTATCTGGTTCGCTGATGATCCCCCCTAGACGACATCTTCCGCCATCTCTCGGAGAAGCGCGGTCTCAGACCAACCTCCAGTGGAACAACTCATCAGTTCCGCCTGTGTGGCGGGCTTCAGGCTTACCTGCAGGCGTAATCCAGAAATTTCACGAGTGGGTCTCGTCATTCCTGGCCAGTTCAGAGACGAGGGTTGGTCGTTAATGATATAATAGGGATCTCCCTTCACTTGTATACCAGGAGTCTTTTGCGTCTCTCAGTCGCTCCGCAGGGGTGTGCTCAGGCTGAGTATGCACGCCGGTCCTTTCGGGGTTCAGGCCTTCTCGTGGACTCTCTGCTCTATCAGTGGCGCCTCTCCTTGGTCTGCCGCCTTGGTGGGTGTAA